GTTAGTAGTAGACGCGTATAGGAAGCGTAGGCTAAAATAAACCTCTCTTATTAGGACCTCCCTAGTCCTTAGCGTAGTAGCTATACTAGATAATAGCGTCGTCGATAGCGATAGGGACACCGATAGGCTTAAATAAAGGCATATTAGCGTATAGTACGGTTACGTTATAGTAGAGTTATGTTTACGAAGAAGAGGTAAAGCGTAAGAGGTACGCATACTAAAGGAAGGAAGGAATAAAGGAGTAACGGGCTAGCTTTATTATTATCGCTAGCTACGTACGTCGCGACGCTAAGGCGTCGCCGCTAAGCGGGCCGCCTATAACGCCTAAACCTTAGCTAGCGTCGCCGGCTCTTATATAGTACGCGCGTACTACGACGGCAAGGTAGTCTATTAGACTCTATAGGAGTTGCTTATAACTGCGGATTTTAAGGGCAGATATAGGCCGCTAAGGATAGCGTCCTAGAGGGGGGGATAATTATAATAGGATAGGTTACCCTAGTCTTCTCTCTCTCTTTTACTAAGCCGGCGTTTCCTATACGACACGCTAGCGTAGTATATAAGAAGAATTCTATAGCTACCCTACGTAGAGCAACGAATAGCTTTAGCTATAGATAGACCTATTATCTAGGAGTAATCTATATGTTGCTACATACCTTTATACCTTTATAGTTTTTAACGCAAAATTCCTAGTAGGCACGAAGGGCCTATATAAAATTTGCCTCGTCTTTACCGTTAAGCTAGACTATGCTAATTTAAAAGGTTTTGTTTGTTCTAGTAGCTCTAACAATATTAAGAACAGGACGGCGATATTTATTTGTTTTATACGTAACATCTATAAAAACTAGATCGGGGTTTACTTTAGTTATTGCAATACTCGTTAGGTGCGACATAAATAGATTAGTGATTTCGTTATTTCGACTAAGGGCAATTCGTTTAAAAAAGCTTTCTTGTTCTATACGAAGTAATGTCGCTTCTACCGTTATGTATGAACTAACGTACATTTCCTTAATCTTTGCCTTTAAGTTATATATATCTTTCGGCTTTTAGAGTAGATCTTAGAATTTCGGTGTAAGTTATACTAGAATTTAAGCTAGATTAGCGCTCGAGGTAAGGGTATCTTTAATGAATTCTATTATTTCTTTTATTCGTTCTAAACGATGAAAATGTAGTAGGGTAGAAAGACCTACGCTTAGATAGTTATGTTCAAAACTTCGTTAGCTACGAGAATAACGGACTAACTAGGAGCTTATATCTAGTAACTTTAGTTTGTTAGTAGCGAGAATTATCTATATCTAATAGTCGCATTTTAAGCTACTTGAGTCGCGTATAAGAAGTTTGTTAGGAACGTAGTATCCGCTAGTATTTCCCTATAAGTAACGAAGAATTTGTCGAGTAATATAACTAGCTTTATTCTTTTATAGCTTATAGATAGTAAGCGCGTAGCCGTATTTCTTCGTATGTTTATTAATTACGCGACGAGCCGCGTCGTACAAGGGGTATAAGGCTTAAGGTAGTAGTAGTAGGCTTTTTTCGTTTTCGACGTAGGAATTAGAACTAGAGCTAGATCTATCTAAGCCCGAGTTAGAGTTAGAGTCGGAGTCAGAAATTTTGTACATAACGTAGGAATCCTATAGTATAGAAACTTTGTATAAAACGCGGGAGTCCTATAAGATAAGAAGGGTCTCTTTGTATTAAGTCTAGGTTACGTAGGGATAGGCTATTAATACGTTATAAACGAGGATTAAAAGTTTGTATACGCGAAGAAATAGAGGAGGAGAGGAGTAGTATAGAGGAATAATAACAACGCGACGCGCGAGGAAACTATAAGCCGTACGTACGCATAAATTAAGTCTTAATTTACGTTTACAGCGGGAAAACTTTTTTCGTTACTAGCGCGGATGTAGCGTACGCGAAGTAGGGATAGGAGGGGAGTAGTAGTATACATAGGAGGGGGATAGCAATCTCGTGTAAGCGTAAATCATGCTATAGTAGCCGTACGCGCGGCAGGTACGGGTAGCTTCACTAGTCGCGCGCCAAGTAGGGATAGGAGGGGGGTAGTAATCCGGATGGGAGGGGGATAGCAATCTCGTTGCGTCGAGACATGTGGTCGGGCGGAGGTCAATGCTCATGATGGATGCCAAGACGTGTCTCCGCAAAAGGCGGGCCCGAGCTCCAGACATTCACATGCTCGTGACGAACGCTCGGAAGCGACAGCGAGAGTCAGTCGACAAAGCATCCCAGAGACAAGCCATCATGGCGCCATCAGCACTTGTGAAAGAGGAAGGCGCATCCACAGCCAAGCGCAAAGCCGAGTCGCCGTCGGAATCCGTCTCGGACAGCAAGCGCTTCAAGGCGTCGACGTCGCCCACCCCCACCCTCGAACACGACACAGGAGACGCCGTACAGTCGAGTGCTCCACGCGTCGTGCCCTTCCCCGAGAAACCTGCCGTCATCGAGGAGCGCAATGGCGAGATTGAGTTCCGCGCCGTCAACAACGATGGCGACCGCGAGAGCTACATCATCCTGACGGGCCTGAAATGTATCTTCCAGAAACAACTGCCTAAGATGCCCAAGGACTACATCGCCAGGCTCGTCTACGACCGCACCCATCTCTCCATGGCCATCGTCAAGAAGCCTCTCGAGGTTGTGGGAGGCATCACATACCGCCCCTTCAAGGGCCGTCAGTTCGCCGAAATCGTCTTCTGCGCTATAAGCAGCGATCAGCAAGTCAAAGGTTACGGCGCACATCTCATGTCGCATCTGAAAGACTACGTCAAGGCCACCTCGGACGTCATGCACTTCCTGACCTACGCCGACAACTACGCCATCGGCTACTTCAAAAAGCAGGGCTTCACAAAGGAAATCACCCTCGAACGTCCGCGCTGGATGGGCTACATCAAGGATTACGAAGGCGGTACAATCATGCAGTGCAGCATGCTCCCCAAGATCCGCTATCTTGAGTCGGGCCGCCTTCTTCTTAAGCAAAAGGCTGCAGTCCACGCAAAGATCAAGGCCGTCTCAAAGTCCTTCGAAGTCCACCCCCCACCCACGCAATGGAAAGGTTTGAAGAAGGGTGACTCACTGCCATCCATTGATCCTCTCACCATTGCCGCAATAAAGGAGACAGGCTGGAGTTTGGACATGGACGCTCTGGCCCGCCAACCCCGCCACAACCCCAACCACTCTCAGCTCATGCACCTGCTTTCCGCCCTTCAAAACAGCACCCACGCGTGGCCTTTCCTCCAGCCCGTCAACAAAGACGAGGTTCTGGATTACTACGAAGTCATCAAACAACCAATGGACCTCAGCACAATGGAACAAAAACTCGAAAACGACGCATACGAGACTCCCGAAGACTTTATCAGAGACGCCACCCTCATCTGTGTCAACTGCCGACGCTACAATGCCGAACAAACTCCATACCACAAAGCTGCCATCAAGTTGGAAAAAGAGCTGTGGAAGAAGGTCAAGGATGTGCCCGAATGGAGTTACATCGAGCAGGAGCATTTTGCAAAGGTTGGCAAATAGAACGATGGTGATGTAGTCTTGTGTGTTTTGCTGGCGTTTCTGTATACTGGCGTTCTGGCTTCTTCCTTTCCTACTGCGATACCCCTTGTTTTGTTTTCTTCTTTCTCCTTCGTCATGAACACAACAAAGATATGAAAACTTTATTGCTCTGACTTCTTCATGCCGTTCGTTCATTTGTTTTTCCATCCTAATAATCCTGCCCTTTCACGATCTGGAAGGTGTTGCGTTCTGACGGGCACTATTGTATCGATACACCGCTGTCGAGATACTCTTAGAGGTTATGGAGCCTAATGATCATGTGTGCGAGTTCCAGCTGGCCCCCGATAAAAGACGCCAGCGCTCTTCTAGACATGTATGAGCTCGATACTGCACTCAATAGCACCTCCTCCACCACTCCTACCACTCCTACCACTCCTATAAGCGACGCCAGCGCGATTCTGGACATGTATGAGCTTGTTGCCAGGTATTCGGCCACTACCCGCACAGCTTGTGGGTGTAGATCCACGGAACGGGGCTCGTGACCTTTCACCCCTACCCCACGTTGACTGCAGGTAGACCATACCGCTTGTCGACATGCACAGTGTAATTCAGATTGAGCATGCTGCCCATTGATGGCAGCTCGAAACTCATAGTTTGATCATATTTCGCCGGCTAAGCAGGGTTATTCCCGCATTCATTCTTGCATACCTACAAGTATGCTTGTGCTGGACACGGCCAACTGAAACGACACAAAAGAAAACAAACCACTTTCATCCCCGCCCTCCTATTCTTTTTTCTCTTTCATCCACGGACGCCATCGCAAGGCTTGCACTGGCAGGATCCCTTCTTGCCGCGATTGATCAACCAAGCCAAGTGAAACGAAAACCTGCTAGCCGACGAGAACCACAGTCCCGACGGGTGGCCCCAGAGGTACAGATCACCCGCGCGATTGTTCTTCGTGCCACGAGGTCTGTACATGAGCTTATAGCCAGGAGGCAAGCTATCCAGCGTATCCTTTGGGTTTGACCAGAAGAACTCGCCATCTGTGAGCACACTGGTTAGCATATTCATCGACTCTGACTGTTTCCTCATATGCGTGCTTACCCCATTCTTTTTCGAGGAGGTTGAGGTAGTTTTCCACCTGCTCGACGGTTGCGGGTATGTCTTGCTTGCCGGTGGGGTGTTTGCTGACATCGCCGTCGCTGTTCTTGAGGAGATCGAGTCGATAGATGATCAGGTCTGAGGGGTGGTCGGGGTCGTTCATGGAAGAGAGGAAGTGAGTGTAGTCTGGGCCTTTGTCGTGCCAGGAGAATCTGCACGATGTGTGGCAGTTGTGGTACCATAGACCGAGTGTCGTCTGGTTTTCAATGTGTTGGTCGCATTTTTCTTGATCGTTGAGTTGTTGTGCCATGGTTGATGCGTTTTGTCGGATGTTGTTGATGGGTGAGGAGGTCAAGTCACGTGTGATGGTGGTTTTATAGGGAGGAGCTCCGTACGTGTCGTGTCGTGTCGGAAGTCGATGGACTACCTATTCGACGGACTACCTATTCGACGGACTGCCTATTCGACGGACTGCCTATTCGACGGACTGCCTATTCGACGGACTGCCTATTCGACGGACTGCCTATTCGACGGACTNTATTCGACGGACTGCCTATTCGACGGACTGCCTATTCGACGGACTGCCTATTCGACGGACTGCCTATTCGACGGACTGCCTATTCGACGGACTGCTCATTCGACGGACTGCCTATTCGATGCGATGTGAAGGCTGGTGATTCATTGTCGAGAGTACATGGGCGAAACACAATAAATTGTGCTCTACCCGCAACGAGGTCATGGTGTACTATTGCCACTCCTCGACATGCTATATCCCAGAGCATCGCTTCTTTAAGATGTTTGTCGAAGTGCAGGAAGTCTTGTTGCAATCGCCAATCGTTGAGAGTCATCTACCGGAAGGTCACAGTCCTTTCTAGCATCTCAGCCTGCCATTGCTTTGTAAAGAAGTGCCTGTCAAAATGCAACAAGTGTTTCCAGAAGAATGAATTGCCATTGAGAGAGCATCCCGCAGAACCATTAGAGCGTCACTTCCGTGCCATTCCAACACAGATTCGGCATGTATAAATACAGACCATCCCACGTGACTTTCTCTCTCCCCTTCTCATCCACATCATCGGCAATCATGGCTGAACAACAAACCACCTTCGCCGTCTGGAATCACGAGTGCACCCTTGGCCAACCATGTAGCTCGCGCACCCACGTCTCGAACAACCCAACCCCCATCCCCTACTCCGATATGCTCCAAGACGACGACGACGATGATGATAAAGAGCTGCAAGCCGATGAGTCCGAAGCCGAGGAAGATGACGACGGCGATTACTGCACCCTACGCATCGACCTCCTGGAAAACAGCGATGGCGACGAAGCTTGGCGTCCTGCCCCCAAGGAGGGTGAAGATGAGGCAGAGCTTGCTGGTCTACAGCACACCATCAAGTTTTTGAAGAACCTTGAGAGCACTTTTGGTAAATCGCCTTGTCAAGCACCCTGGGTCTTCTGAGTCTCCTATTCAAACCCCTGGCTGACAATCATATCACCAGCCGCCAATTACAAGATCCTGGTCAACCCTACCGACCACACCGCCAGCTTCCCCAAAGACTATGTCTTGACGCACAAAATGCGCCCAAGCAACCCTAACCACCCAGGAGACTCTCAACTATGGGGCCATCCTTCCGGCGAGGTCTTCAGATCTGCATCGTCGTTCGCCGTGCACTTGCACTGGTTGATCAGAGACGACGACGATGGCTGCGAGTGCGTTTGCTGCAAGAAGGTTGACCCTGCCGGTAAGGGCCAGAAGGTCAAGGATAAGAGCAAGTCTGACAAGAAGAGTAAGAAGGGCAAGAAGAACAAGAATTGAGCATGGTAAGTCTCATGTGCACGGAGAAAGAAGACAAAGACATTAACCAAGTTTTTTATTTTCTTTAGAACAGCAAAAGGCGTCTAAGAAGGAAATCAACACTTTGCATAACCCTTGCTCGCTCCTCCAGCCCGGTCGAAAAGAACGCCATGCCTGCAGAAAGATTGGAGAACAGAAAAAAAAAAAAAGGAGTATCGAGTCAGAAAGGGGTATGGAAGAAGAATAGAAAGGGAATAATGACATGAAGAAGAGGTGTCGGAAGGCGTGATAATGGTGGGGCGGTAGAATGAGAATAAAGAATCAATGAAATCATCCCATCACGTCAAGCGATGAGCTCCTCGTGCCAATCCGTCCTGATCAGAGTCTCTTTCCAGGAACGAAGATGAAGAGACAACACACGGCGGCATCGATGATAGCAATCCACATAAGACACATCATCGAGCGACGTGTGAGCAGGCGATGGACAAAGTTCTCCTTGACGGCAAAGTAATTCGTAAAGGTATATTCCGAGTAGCCGAGAAGCGCTTGGATGGGATCAAGCATGTACTGGTGAGAGACGAGGAAATAAATGGCGATAGTGAATGGTAAGATGACCTGGGCCTGTCAGTAAGGAGGGACCAACCAGATGAGATGGATTCAACATACCCAGCATCTTGTGCTTCTGCTCATGTCCAGGAAGATGAGGACAAAGGCGGTCCAGATGGCAGCGAACAGGGCAACGAGACCAACGACCAACCTCAACATCATGCTGGGCTGGACGATGTTGCCCAGGGCTTTTGCTCTCAGGAAACCAGGGAAGGCATCACGCTCCATGGCCTGGAAGACGTAGTCCTTAGCTGCGTCAAAGACCTCTGGATCATCACGTTGCTGGGTCTCAATGGCGTCTGTGACTTGCTCGAGGATGCCGACGGGAATGATAATTTCACGTTCGGAACCTTGTAGCAGGTAGGTGTACAAGATTTTCTCAGCGCTGGCACGAATGTCCTGTCTGGAAACGGTAGTACCGGTAGGAGACTGGTCTTGGGTGTAGGGGCTGGTGTCTTGAGTGCTGTCGACCATTGAGCGGCGATTGTTTTGGGGATCAAAGTTGTTGCTGCCGAGAGATTGCGAGGGCGAGTGCATACTGTTGTTGTCGCCGCGCAGGAAGGCAGAAACGCGTGTATCCTTGTCGTTGGAGCTGGGGCCCACCATGCCGCTGTCGTCGTATTGTTCCAGTACTTGCGAACTACGCTTGCTGCCGCTCTTCTCCAGCTCAGGTGTTTCGGCTAGCACGCTGCGATGAAGACCTCGGACGTAGTGTCGGCATAGCGACATGTGTTGTGACACATCCAGCCTGTGAGGGTGTGTTAGTCTTGGCGAGTTATTTCAGGCGGGCAGTAGAGAGTTGTATACCAGAAATCGAGGTAGTCAACACTGCGTTGAGCATCGCGCATGTAGATGTAGAAACTAAACAGATCGACGGGCGGTTTTGTCTGGCGGCTGAGGACTTCGTATAGATTGGGCAGGCGATTGCGCTGGATAGTAATGTCGGGCGTGGGTGTGCGGTGCGCCATTGTTGCTATGATGATTTGACGTGTCGCACGCTTGGATGTCGTTTGCGACTTCTTTCGCGCGCTGCTGAGTGGCTTTCGATTACAGTGTCTGGTAAATTGAAGTGAGGCGATACTATGAGTGAGGGTGGGCGGTCGGAAGAAAATAAGCTGGTTGAGAATGGAGTCGAATTGCGAAGAGGAGGAAGTGAAATGAATAGTCGTTTGATGTCGTTACTTCTCCCCTTCCCTGACCTCCCCAAGAGAGCGATCCTGCTTCAACGGGGAGACCGTACGCTCGGACCACTAGCCAAACACGCGAACCAATTACGCCCAGTAGTTCCCCGCTAGCCGCTTCGACATGGCGTCTCACTCTCTTACCATCTTCATTATTCACTCCTTCGCAACATGACGAGGCTGTGTATGCTGATATCCATAGCATCGGAGTGCAGAAGCAGGTATCGTATCAATCCTGAAATCTCTCAGCCGGCAATACATGAACGGCCGCTACAAAATCCATGCTTTATAACAATCGCCGACGTGCGCGATACGATCTGCAAAAACAGTACTCCACATCAACAAACACAACAACATCATGCTGAGGCCTGCACGCGTGACAAATTTGGGATTTCGGAGGAATCTGAAGCGCCAAGCAACACGCAAAGTCAACTCTCATCTTCAGGCACTCAGCAACCGGTATTCCAGGAGGAAGTCGTGACCCTACACGGTCAATCTGATCAGCCACGTCGGCCAAATTGACTAGCCAACCATGCTCGTGGACGATTACAAAATCATGTAGATTTCAAGATGGATTAAGACATTATATTGTTCTACTATTGATACTCGTCGCATTACTAAATCGCCTTATATGTACAATTCAAGAACTCTTTCCTCGGGTTGCTTACGGGCTGCCAGCCAACTTGGCAGTCAGCGGCGGCAAGGGGCAAGTCTGACCGTCCACTTCCGTGCCATGCACAACATAGTTCTGCTGCATGCCGAAAAGGTTGTGAGACGACACATGGCACAACAGCTGCCAAACACCAGGCAATTGTGCGTTCATGTTGAAGGTAAACATTTCGCCGGCGTTGATACTCTGAGAGGCTTGCCAGATGTCGTTGTATTGGAAGTTGTTGCCGTGCAGATGGAATACGTGAGACGCACCACCAAATGCCATAACGTACCAGATGACTGGATCGTCCCGGCACATTTCGTAAGGTGCGCCATTGCCAAAGACATAACCATTCATGGTGTAGAAATTGGGTCCTTGAGCATCGCTAAGCTGAATCGCTGGGAAGTTGGCCAACTGTGGCACCCAGAAGGATTCATTGCCGATAAAAGGGCGAACAAGCTGGTTGGTGGCGCGCATAGTGCTGGTATCAACCCCGGCATTCTTTGCGTTCTCACCAGCCATAAAAGAGCGAGCCTCGTAGTGGGTGTTCGTGGTAACAACGAATTCACGGTGAGCAGACATTGTGCTGTTCATCTCGCCGCTGTTGTAGACAATGATGGGACCAGAGAGACCAGCAGAGGTGTCGGCAGGCATGTTGACAAAACTGTGGTATGACCATAGACGGCTGCTCTGGCCAGGGGCCGGGGCTTGCGAGTCGGAGATGAGCCACTTGTAGACTGCACAACCGCCAGGAGGGACGGCGTCCTGCTCTTGCACATTCGGTGTTTCGCCGCTGGTGGTGTTGGGGTATAGAGAGCCTTCGTATTGTTTTCCATAGTAGAGTCCCATTGAATGCATCGAACTGTAATGATCCTTGAGGTTGTTGACAAACATGATCTGAATCATGTCACCAACCTCGCCTCTGAGGATAGGGCCGTTGATGCCATTGGTGGCAGGTTGTTCGCTCTGGGTCGTGAAGCTGTCGTCTGTGTAGCCCTTGTACACAGCTTTTTGCCATCCACCCAGTCCCCAATTGGAGGTACCAAGAGATCCGGTGATGTTGAGATATCCAGCCGCTATCGCGTGTGGAGAGTTTTGGACAGGCACACCAAGCCAATTGTCCCAACCACTAGGTGCATAATCCCAAGCCACCTCTTCGGCGGCGACGTAGTAGGTTCTCACATTGCCAGAAAAGTTGAAGTTGGAGGGGATACTGTTCTTGCTGGGAAGCTGGTAATCAATGAGAGCTTTGCACTCGTTCTGGGTAGCCAGCTTGGATGCATCGGGGGTAGTGCTGTTGGGTGCAATCGAGAGAATGCCTCCGTTGGGGCTGATGGAAGCGGCAGCAGCATCGACTGTAGTAGTGGCATTGGAAGGGACGACTCCAGGTGTAGCACTCAAAGTGCCGTTTGGCGAAGGGGTCGAGTAGGCTGGTGATTGTATTTGACCATCCGAAATTTGTGTGACTGGGCTGCTAGCACTCGATGTAGCACTTCCTGAAGAAGCAGGACTGGCACTGAGGATCAGCGAAGTGGCTGCGGACGAAACTGTCACTTCAGCATTGACACTATCGGACAGTGATTGAGCGAGAGAATGAGTGACAAGACCGCCAAAGGCTGCCAGGAAGATTGTGGAAGAGACCATCTCTGAAACGAGTGTAGAGATAGTGTGAGGAAGCTTGTTGAAACAACCGCAAATCTACGCAGAGACGGGCTCTAGTGATATAGCTACTGCATGTCCTAGCCTTACAACATTTCAAGGCATACCCACACCTTCGAGTTGCCTGGGAAGGCAGGGATCGGGACGAATCTGCATGGTTGGGAAAAGAACAATACCCACCTTACCATAGAGAATCCACACAGGATTCGATCCAGGAGCAGGGAAGCGAGGGGCGGGATGATGCATACTCGACCACGCAGACAGGCTTCTGACACACATGAAAGGGCTGGTAATGAGGTTTTCGCGCGCTCAGCAAGCACATTTGATGGTGTAGTAAAACGGCGACTGGATCCGCGGCTCTGCAAACAGAGCACCCGTGAGGAGAGCCGAGAAGTTTAATCCAGCCTTTGATCTCTTGTCTTCGATAGAGTTGTAGATCGAGCGAAAGGAACAGGAAGGTGGAGGAGGTGGAGATGTTTTTTCGCGTGGCTGAAGCGTGATATCCAGGAAACTGGGCGGTTGCTCGGGCGGGAATAATAGAGTTTCATGCATGCATATGCAGTGTGGCTGGTGGCAGTGGCAGGCGTCAGAGGCACAACAAATGTGCCGTACAACCTTGTTGAAACCAAGTGTTGCCATGACAGGATTCCTACAAAGAGTAGCGCGGTAAGGTTGAGGGGATTGTCTGGTGTTGCAAACCTCCAATGGTAATTCATCACCGGTTGATAGGTTTCCTTCTTTCGTAGGAGACGCTGACCAATACCTGCCAAGGCAGGACGCGATAACTCGACCAGACTATGGGACGCTATTCAAGTCGATGATGCTCTGTTTGTCCGGCGGAGCACGGTCAAGTCGTGATTCAGGATGCCCATCCGATCATGATGAAAGTGGAAACAGCGAGGGCAGGTTGAGTGGGGAGGTGGAAGAAGCATGGACGCATTTTGTAGAGCAATGGTTAGCCTTGGCGTCGCTTCGACCTCATGGCCTGCATCGAACATGATCTCAATTCCGTCAACTTGCTTTCTCGTGCGTTTTGCTCACCTAAAGCAAAGTAACACTCGAGCCTAGCAATAGTTAGCTGTGCTTTTCTTGTGTGGACTCAACCAGGTCTGCATTTCCACCATTCTTTTCCTTTAGCTTAAACACCAGGAGAGAGACCAAGCTAACAGCAAATTGAGTGATTTGACATCCATATCATCTCTTGTGCTGTCAACCATGATATTCACATCAATAGCCTCGAAGTGGTCAGTCCGTGCCGATGGCTAAAGAGCAATCAAGTTGTTCGCTTGCCCACCCTTGTGAGACAATCATAAACTTTACGTGGGTTCGAGGTTATTACTCGATCAGCCGTGGTGTTCCACAATGGTTTCTAGAGATATAGGATTTTCTAGAGATATAGGATTTTCTAGAGATATAGGATTTTCTAGAGATATAGCAATTTAGAGAGAGAGAACTTCAGATAGCTGCTCCTCCTTCACGACACACCCATCGCTTACAATTTGCATAGTACACCGTCACCCTTCAGTACTGCAAGATGCCCACGATTGATCTCTTTGACCGTTCGACATCTATTGGCAGATTAGTCAGACCCTAATCAAGCTTCTTGGATATTCAACTTACCCAGCCAACGCCATAGTCATACGCAACTCGGCCATCAGAATCTTCACTGCAAGTTCGACACCTTGTTGTCCTTTATACTGCTTCTCCGTCAGCCTCGCTCTTTCCAAGTTTTAGCCAGGTCGTAATTCACAGCAAGCCCCCATATCGGTACCCTACCCATGAAAACGAAATCAGCACCCAATGCCAATGCTTTGAAGATGTCACTACCCCTTCTCACGCCTCCATCGAAAGCGATCGGGATCTTGCCTTTTGCTACAGAAGCGCAGTCACGGAGACTGTCAAGTGTTGCAGGTACACCCTAGAATTGAAGCACGATTAGCAGATTCAGCTGGAAAATCAATGCTGCTTTGCTTACGTCTAGCTGACGACCACCTGGAAATAAGGCTTGTTAGCGACTAGAAAGTACAAGATTATCGGCACACTTACCGTGATTCGATATCATGATACCGTCAACCTTGTGTTGAATCGCCAGGGCAACATCTTCAGGCGAAGCAACGCCTTTGAGCCATATCTCAAGTTTAGTTTGCGATCGCATCCACGGTATCGCGGTATGCCATTCGATCGTAGCATCTTCTCACGGTCAGTAGTCATCGGGTAAAAACGGGTTATGGTCCTTACCGTATTCTAGTCCCTCTCCCACAGCGGTCAGGTTGGGCCACTCGAGTCCTTCGGGAAGCTCAAATTTGTTTTTATGCTCATTCAATCTTTGTCCCAATACTGGCACATCAACAGAGAGAAAGATCGCCTTATAACCAGCAGCTGTAACCTTGTCAGTCGTAATCAAGATGAGAGTCCACCACTGACTTGCCTTCAGCACGCTTGATGGTATTCGCACATGCCACTTTGTCCTTGATCATCGAAATGTGCATGAAATATGGGTTGCCCGTGCCCTGAGCAATCACATCTTCAAGGGCTTTTGTCGCAAAAGCTGATAATCCCATACAAATGTTCGCTTTTGCTGCTGCGCGTGATGTAGCCAGTTCACCATCGGGATGTGCGAGTCCATGCATAGCTGCTGGACTAAAGCCGAAAGGTGCAGAGGTCTACATTGAAAGATCAGTCTCGTCTGATCGATTCTGTCAGAGCAATTCATGTTCACCTTGATGCCAAACATGTTGGTTTCCAGGTCTATCTTTGCCACATTGATCATTACTCTCGGTCTGATTTTGTAGCGATTGAAAGCTGCTTCGTTGTCTTTGAGTCTGTCATGACGCATATTAGCTCAGAAGTACGAGGTCCTTGAGAAAACAAACATACGTGATAAGATCCATCGCTCCTTCGTTATAGTAGTCTAGGCCATCAGTACGTTGCTCAACTCCACTCAAGGCGATTGATCTCACCCCTATACATTTTTGGCATATCACGACATGCTGCTTCCTTCAAATCCGCGATCGTGAGGACATGTGGATCAAGAGTCGGTAAGCGGTTCATGATGACTGTTGGAATGAAAAGTCGCTGAGAGAATGTAAAGATGATCGAGTTGGACAGCAATAGGTGGTTCGAACAAAAGCTGTCGTTGTTCACCTTATCGTCACTCAATAGATACATGTAAATACTTCTCGGCGTTGGCTTTCCCTTTCCAAAGTCAAGATAACAAGGCAACTCGATGCCGATAACGTCGGCCTATCTTGATGCGTCTGCGAGATACTACCTGGATTACGCGCCTCGGCTTATGATTGATCTTGTGGATGGATAATCGGATTGCTCTGCCGTCCAGACTCCAAAGCGTCGACGCGTGCGTTTTCCACTCCCCCTCAACATACCAACCGCCAACTTTCTCGGTATTCGCCTTCATCATTTCTATCTCCCTTTTGGGCACACCGAGCAACATTTGGATCCGCGGACTATATATCACAACGGCCATACAGGCGACATGATGCACATACCGTGTTGACACGTTGAACACCGCGTGCCAGATTGCGCATACGCTTCAACTTCCAATTATCGACGCCGCTTTGTTTGATCAGCTTCTCGACTGCCACCATAGACCTTTGCTTCATGGTTTGACGAACTTCAGACTACTGCCACCATCCAACATAGGTTATTCCACGAGGTCTTCACTCTCCAACCTCCTGCCTTCCGGTGTCACCCTAGCTGCCAAGCAATCGGATCCCGGGCGTCGGCGTTCACCCCGCATCAACTACGTTCGCCAAATCCTGGGTATCAGGCCCGTGCGTCAAAAATCGAAAAAAAATCAAAACTTCTTCATTCCGATCAGATCCTTTTGGCTATTTCGGCATTGCTATTGGCCTGCAATTAGCAAAAAGAACAGCCCGACGTGGGGCTCGAACCCACAGCCTCAAGATTAGAAGTCTTGCGCGCTACCATTGCGCCAGCCAGGCTGGTTATTGATGCACTGAGTGCTTGTACGCCTCAAGTTCTAATTTTGCAGTGTGGAGGAGAGTGCTAGTGGGCAGTGGTTGACCTTCTGCACCTCACTGACCTGCTCGGACACTACCATGAACATCTCTCGGTGGTTGGAAACCAACTTTGCATCTTCTGGTAGAATCTGGGCTGGCTTTAGCTCCCGAACATCATTAAGGCTCGCCTGGATATCCACTGCCCGATGCTATGACCCAGGATAAGACAGAGCTGTCTTGGAGACATGGTCATGTTGCTTCACCTGATTGGTCACTTTGGCATCTGTTGTTTTATGACATTTCTGCATAACCAGCCATTTCATGCCGGACCCTCGCCAGACCTCACCAACTAATCATCATCTCCTCTGAAGAACTGGCAGGTGGAGACGAAAACAAACAGAGAAGTACAGCTTGTTCCCGTAAGATAGACTCATCATCTTCCAGGGAAAGGAAGTTTTCAAATAAGAACGGAAGACGAACAGTAGTACGAAGGAAATGTTGACTGACAATGAGAAAGCAGCAAAGGTAAGTGTGGAGAGAGAATGGCCAGCAGATGGAGTCTACCAAAAGCAAAACAATGACCATCCATATGGCAAAGAAAAGGATGACGCGTTACATGAGTTTATACAAGAGGAGGGTGATTGGCTCGATGGTAAGGTATGTCACCTGCTAAACTATTGCCTCAACGCACTTGACGCTTGATGAGAAGATCCGAACAACCGCTTTCTCCTACCCATGTGCGGGGGTTAGTCATTGGGGCAATTCTCTTGCAACTGTGCCTCTCGCGACTTTACAGCTGTAGAGACGATCTACGCTTTCTACTACACTTAGTCGACTGTAGAGATGAGCTCTGTGACAAGCTCTCTCTAGACACTACTGTGATTGGAAAGTTATCGTGCATTGATAGCTACACGCGTGAGTCTTCAGCAAACGTGGATCTTATCCTACTTCGATAAGACCATGCAGTCTCACTGATCCCAACAGCACAAAGATGTTTAGGCACAAGCATTTCCACAACAAAACCACACATTTCTCAATAACGTTGCTATCTCATTCCACACTCGAATCTTGAAAATCCAAAAGAATCAGAAACACATCAATCTCAAAAACACATCAGTCACCTCAGAATCGAAGAAAACGCTAACATCAGATACCAATCAACACCGCTTACTTGAGAGCGTTGACAATGGCAGTGTAAGCAGCCTTCTTCTGGAAGTTGCTGTCGAAGAGGAGGGGGCTGTCGCTCTTTCTCCAGGACTGGCTGTCGGAAATACCCCACTCGGTGATACCGACGCAGTTCTTGGTCTGGACACAGGCGTTGACGACCTTGACGTAGGAAGTGGCGTCGGCACCGGCGAGATCGAGCTCGGTCATGGCGCACTCGGGGGCGGCGGCGCAGACGGCCTTGAAGGCGGCGGGGACGTTGTCGGGGTTGTTGAAGGAGCCGGACTTGCCGAGATGGGTCTGGGAACCGACACCGTCGATGGGGATGCCGGCGGCGATCCACTTCTTGACGTGGGAGATGAAACCGGTGGTCTTGGAGTAGGAGGCAGAGTCCAGGTTGTAGTCGTTGATGTAGAGCTTGGCGTTGGGGTCGGCAGCGCGGGCGGTCTCGAAGGCGATGCGGATGTAGTCCTCGCCGAGAACCTTCATGAAGACGTTCTGGCGGAGAGTACCATCCTCGTTGAAGGCCTCGTTGACAACGTCCCAGGCGTAGATCTTGCCCTTGAAGTGGGTCATGACCTTGGTGATGTGGTTCTTCATCACGTTGGTGAGCTGGGTCTTGTCGGTGATCTGCTGTACCCAGTTGGGGAGTTGAGAGTACCAGACAAGAGTGTGACCACGGACGAGCTGGCCATTCTGGGAGGCGAAGTTGACGAGGTAGTCACCACCGTTGAAGTTGAAGTTGCCGTTGGAGGACTCGGTGGCATCCCACTTCATGCTGTTCTCAGGGGTGACCTGACCGAAGTCGGCCTTGACAATGGCAGAAGTTTGAGAGTTGCTGAGAGTGCCCTGGTCAGCGGCAGTACCAAAGTACTTCTTGCCCTTGGCCTGGAAGAGTCTGTTAAGACTGTCGGCGGGCTGAGTAGAGGCCTTGTTGCTGGTAGCGACAGGGGCCTTGGCAGCAACCGAGGTGGTCTTGACAGCGGCAGCGGCGGAGGTCACGGCAGGGGCAGAGCCGGAGCCGGATCCGGGAACGCACTGAGAGTACCAGTCGTTCGAGGCAGCGCAGTGGTAGCCAGAAACACAGGTAGAGGCACCGGTGAAGCCTTGGCCACCACACTGAGCGTAGGCATCAGCTCTCTTGATGTGAGCAGGGGCAGCGGAGGCCAGAGATGCCGCGAGGACAATGGAGGAAAGAGTGGCGGTAGAGATATACATCTTGAAAAAAGTTGTAGATTGACGAAGGATAAAGGTCTTAACGAATGACTTTGTTGCGCGTAGCAATCAGGGAAGAAGAACTTGATGAAAAGAGCGACTACCAGAGCCTGCTGTAGAGTAGAGAAAGTTGTGGATGAAGGTGATGAGAAAAGAATCGATTCTGTATAGGATGGAGCTCACCTCTTATATATCACATTCTTGCATTTAAGCTTACCTTCTAGAGCCATCGTCTCGCCTGCTATATCCATTATCATTAGAGTGCACATACAGTGGAGAGTGCCCTTGATGAGGCCCATTATTGGACAAGCGACGTTTCGTTGCAAGAAGCGATGCCTTGGCTGTGATTGAGGTGTTTGAGGTTGACAGGAAAGAGGGTTACCGCAAGCGAATGGTCCGTGCCTCGGACGCCATTTGCGAGATGAGACGTCGAAGGTGAGCCTCGATGGGGATCACCCTGGCACTTCTGTGGATTTTCACTCTGGGCGCTGCGACTTAAGCATATTGACATCTCGGCCGCTCTCGACCGAGATGTCGTTATTGCGGCGGGAACTGCACATCTCCCGTAATAGCGGACGATGCTACGAACGTCTGGAGCACCTAAAGAGAACTACTGTACATGCCTGAAACGAGCATCACGAAGCATAAATCAAGCGGCACCAAGCATCGTGCAACAAGATTGTAAAAGTCACTTAGGCAAAAGTCGGATGATGAGGTGCGGAGTAGAGAAGCGAAGGTTCGTTATGCAATTAGTTGTGGCTAAAACACCCAGCCTATTCTTCCAAAGTAGATGGAGAAACCCAAGATCCAGAGTTAAACGTAATGGGGTATCGAAGAAGACATGAAAAAGCATCCACCTAGATGAGGCCTGCTGTACAAAAGAGAGATAAATGATTAGAAGTAAAATGAGGGGACAGGCATGTGGGTAAAGTCGTCCAGGGAGAAAGAAAGCATATCAAGGAAATGTGAAAAGACTGAAACGTGGTGGTGGAGATCATTCGTTCAAGCATTGCCACAACTCCTCTTCATTAAGAGTCTTGAGGACAGGCTCACGAGGTAGTTGTGGCTCCGGACCGAATCCAAAGATGGGTCCGGCTTGGTTGATGCCTGCAGGTCGTAGCTTGCTGGCTGTAGTCGACATGCGTTTCTTGTCGACTTTGATGTGGTCCATCGGAGCAGAGACGGTTACTGTAGGTGTGGGGGTGGATCCCCATTTTCCAAACACCCATCCGCCTACTCTTTGGCCGAGGCCCTTTGGCGGCGTACTAGAAGCCTTGTGTTCAGCCGCCACTCCTTCTAGTATACTACGACTACTACTCGAAGTCCTTGTCATTAATGCAGGTCTAGCAGCATGTGCCAAGGAAAGCGTGGCTGTGACAGAGGCTTGTGATGAGAAGGATCGCGAACTTTGGGCTGTTAATAGCTGTGACGGACGGGATTGGAGGGTGTGAATATCCATGCCAGACACGGATATCAAGGATTCATGCGAAGCAGCCCGGCGATGCCGAGGGCGCGTGTAAATGCTTTCATCCATGATCGTTGGCCGAGTATAAGTCGAGATCTCAGTGTCGTCAATGAAAGAAGGCACATGAGCACGACCCTGATCAGGTGATGACACAGCAGGATCCATATGATTCCCTTCGTCTTCTTCAAGAATTGCACCATGACCTCCTGCAGCTGCTTGATCCTCGAATCGTCCTTGGCCATCAGCAGGAAATTCGTAGGGAGACTGGTCATAATCTTCAAAGCGATCTGAAGCGCCATCACGAAAAGCCGGTTGTGGCAAGGCACGAAAATAGGATCCTGATGAAGACCTTTTGGACTGATGCGGGATGAAGTAGGGCGAGCTCGGTGCCTCACTATCAGGAGTAGTTGGGCGAGATGAATCTATCAAGGAGTCGTCGCGGTCCCAGATAGATGATGGCGGATAAATTGATTGAGGTGAACTAAGCATGGAGCTTGTCGTCATGTGAGACTGCATTGACCAGCGATTCACGTTACGGTGTGGGATGCTGGCAGCAGTTTGTGAAAGGATGGCGGCTGTTGATGAGGGGGTATACGGGCTGACTGCAGAAATAGAAGAGCGTGGTGTACGTGACCCTGTGGAAGGCGTGAAGACACCAGAAGCGAGGACGTTGCGCTTCTTCTTTGGTCGGCGTAGCGTCAGACTAGCTTTCCTTGAATGCTCTGCGGGGGCGTGGTAATGGTGGTGAACATGTAGCTCCTGCGTGCTGGCTCGGTTGATTTCCTTTTCCAGGTTTGAAGGACGTGTTGACGGTGTGGGTAGTTCGACGTCGGAAGGGATGTCTGTCGGCGTGTACTGAGCGAGTTGATCCCGGAGGGCTTCAACTTGTTCATTCGAGTTGTCGAGCATCTCACGCAGTTCGGCGATGCCAGCTTGTAGGTTCACGTTGTCCTGAAGAATGTCCTTGACGAAGTGCGAGACAACAGTGCTACCATGCTTTGCTGTCTTCGCGGCGGCAGCACCCTTCAGTCGGCCAGCAGACGTCTCCAGCTCCTTCTCGACCACGCGTTGCCTCTCCATGCGTCCAACAATCTCAACGTGTCGTTCCTTGTCGTCTCTTGCCTCACGTTCAATCCTTTCCAGCTGGTTCTCCATGGCAGCCAACTTCCTCTCTGCCTCCTGCCATCGTAATGTCGCCGACCTTTCGGACTCAGTCTTGTACGAGAGTGATGCATGTAGTATAGATTGTTCTTGTTCGTATTCTTCGATTTCGCGTTCCAGTCTTTCCGTCCGGGCGGCGAGCGAGTTTAGTCGTTGTAGTTCGGCTTGAGTAGATTGTAGTGTAGCGGTAAGCGATTGGGTTTGGGCATCCGATTCGACGGCAGCATTGTTAAGACCCTCGAGTTGGTCAAGCAGATTACGGTTCTCTTCAATCAGGGTCGAGTTGTTGGCTTCGAGTTCCTTCTTTTCCTCAGTCATGCGCGATATCTCGGCGTCCATGAGAGCCTTTTGCTCTTCGGCCTCGGCCACATAGGCTTCATGGCGTACTAAAAGGGCCTGCAATGACCAGGTCAGCGACATGGTGGCCGGGTTGGTATGAAACAAGAAGTGGTGGTGTGTATCAAAACATAACAAGACAACAGGGCTGCAGGTGGGGCCCGGCGCTGGCTTGGTTATATCTCAGGACATGTGTGTATTTTGCTTTGTTCGACGGTGTATAATGGCTTGAACTGCCATAGCAAAAGAGATTGAGTGGGGAAACGGTTTGCCGTGGTAGGATGATGGGATCAGAAGACGACAGGGCAAACAAAAAACATGCGAGATTGCGACGACCAGCAGGCGCGACTCACGAAACACTGACCTTGCCCAGCCTTCCGGCTTTGCGCAGATTCTCGTCCAATGAAGCAAAGGCCTCATTGTTCTGTTGCTGGAATGCGCACTCGTCGTTCCCACAGCAGCACGGTGTCGCCATGGTTGGAATGCAAGGGAGAGAGTTGGCTGAGCCCTCGTCGTCGGAAGATGTATGCCCAAACCGCTGATGACCGTTGTCGTCCATGATGCGCAATCAAACAGAGTCCAAGCCTAGTATGCCCTCGAGGCCCAGGAGTGAGATTGTTCAGAAACCGTCATGCATGCCCTGTCGATGTAAAAGTGTGAAAAGTCGTGGATTTACAATGGAGCGCCTTCTCATTGTTTTGTTGTCTTGGTTCGTTCGAGTCCCGGATGATGATGTGGAGAAGGTCGGTGGCATCGTGCATTCGCGCCCTAATGTACGATCTGTCACGGTCCTCCCAACCACCCAATCACATCGCTCAAACCTGCTTAAACCTGCTTTAGCTTCAGGTACGAAACCATGTATCGTAATTCGGGGCCTTCCGTTTTCGACACATCCGAGGCAGCTCTCCCACCAGTAAACCACAACGTCTGCTCACTTTCCGATGCCGTTGTGAGATGCTTTTGTTCATCTTTCGTCTTGTCCAAGCGTGCAAACTATTGAAATCCTACTCGATCCTCCTCAACCCGTGGTGGGAGTGTACTCTTTGGGAGTTTCGATCGCAGCTTTGTCAAATACGAGAATAGAACTTCTGGTTTCATTAACAGTGTAGAGTGACTATTTAATTCATCTTGGCGTTACATGTCGCGTTCTGAACGCGAGAGGGTCGTGTCTGTCTTGTCATACGATGCTTCAAATCTTAATCTCTGATGGAATTGAGATCTCGAGAATGTCCACACCCTTCTGGATCTCGCTCTTGCTGGGCATCTTCTTGCGTCTCATCAGCTCGGCGCTCTGCGTCATGTAAGGGTCCTTCATCATCGAAGCGACAGCGACGATTTCCTCGCCCTTGTAGTAGTATGCGACAAAGCTGGGACCCTTCTGTGCGTCTGTCTCGCCTTGAATGATGACATCGTCGTAGCCATTGGGAGTGTTACCGCAGTATCTCAACTGAGCACCAAGAGCAGACCAGAAGACGGGGATGAATGACTTCGGCGGTGCTGAGGGGTCGTTGATCTTGCCAGCGACTGAGCGACCAGCGTTCTGAGCGACGTCCCAATGCTCGATGCGAACAGGCTTGCCGTTACCTCCGGGTCCGTGGTAGGGGTATGTGGCAATGTCACCAATAGCGTAGACGTCCTTGAGACCTTCAACCTCGAATGACGCGTTGACGTTGATCGAGCCATCCTTGTTGAGCTGGATCTCCTTGACGTCTTGAAGGTAGTCTGTCGAGGGTCTCACACCAACACCTTCGATGACAAGGTCTGCAGGAAGGTTGGTACCATCCTTGAGTTGAACCGAGCCAACCATCTTGGAGTTTGATTCGGAAGGCTTAGCACCCTCAACCTCAGCACCAAGCTTGAACTTGACACCGTTCTTCTCGAGCAGACCTCTGAAGGTCTTTCCAAGCTCCTTGCCCATGACAGCAGACATGGGCTCGTCCTCCATACCGATGATGGTGACGTCGTGCTTCATTCCAGCGAGGCAGTTGCCAACCTCCATACCGATGAAAGAGCTGCCAACAACGACAACCTTCTTGCCGCCGTTCTCGCCAGCAGCCTTCATGATGCCCTGAGCGTGGGGAAGAGCACGAAGAACAAAGACGTTCTCGAGATCACCCTTCAAGCCATCCATGGGAAGCCACTTGGGGGTACCGCCAGAAGCCATGATCAGCTTGGTGTAGTTGACCTTCTTGCCATCATCAGTCTCAACGGAGCGGTTCTTGAAGTCGACCTTGGTGACGTTGCCCCAGGTGAACTCAACTGAGCTCTCCTTGTAGAACTCCATGGAGCGCCATGCGAGCTTGGATTGGTCGGTCATGAGAGCCTTGGAAAGCTTGGTGCGGTCGAGGGGTTGTGAGTTCTCGCGAGAGACGACGGTGATCTTGCCCTTGTAGCCTCCACCACGAAGGCCTTCAATGGCACCGAGGGCACCACTTCCGCTGTAGAAATATCAGTAAATGCCACATCAATCAAGCTGACTTGTTGGTAAGACATACCTTCCGATGACGACGACATGGTCATTGCCCTTCACACTGCTGCACTTGATGTTGAGTTGACGTCTGTTGGCCTTGATTGTCTTCTCCTCGCCCTTGATGTAGACAGCACCGTCACGCTCGTAGACCTCGAACTTGGCCAGGGGGTCAAGAGCTGGGGCATCCTCGACGTCACCAGATGACACCTTGAAGCAGGCTGCAAAGTTTCGTTAGCATAGGTTCAAGGAGGCGAGATGAGAATTGAGCTTACCTCCGTGCCACGGGCAGGTGATTCTGCCTTCGCCGGTCAGAACACCCTTCACCAGAGGAGCACCGTAATGGGTGCAGTTGGCACTCATAGCATGTACCTCATCCCTGACCTTGGCCAGCAGAATCTTTCCTCCCTCGATGCCATCAACCTCAACCTCTTGCTTCTGACCATTCTTCAGGTCGATGCTGGTCAAGCCCTTGAGCTTGTATTCGGTAGCCATGGCGCGTAATGTGGTTGATAACGGAGCTTTGTTGTTTGTGATTGATAGTTTTAGAGACGATGGTCGTGAAATTTGACGAAACTGGGCAGATGCGGTCGTCAAAAAGGGTCGTAATGAAAGCATAGGCTTGAGATGAGAGGAGAGGGAAGGAAAACAGAGAGAAACACGAGCTTCTCCAGATATCGTGACGGCAGTTTATTAAGTGGAAGCGGTCATCCTGCTTCTGCTCATTGGTGATTCGCTACATTTCATCATCATTGACTTCGATCCGCTCCTTTCCTTGCGATCTGCTCGTCATCGTGCTGCTGCCCCGCTGTTCAAGCCGCCGAACGGGAAGCTATGGCCATGTTGTGATCAAAGACCTCGATGGAATACATCAAGGTCCCAAAACACAACATCAACTCGGTACAGTGCCAGTGTTGACAGTAACAAGAAGAATAGCCTGCTGAATATCATGTCTCGTAGGTGGCCACTTGACTCGCATCACAGATCAATCGAGTTGACCGAATCTCGAAGATACCACATTTCCCTCCGACATTCCAGTCCCCACCGACGATGGAGCTTGCGACCATCTCAAAGGCATGAAGATGCCACCATTATCCCTTCCAGCTACGAACGACTCGCTGGTCAAGATATCCTCACTCCAGGGACTTGTAGTCATCTTTTGCTATCCTCGGACCGGCGCTCCAAACGAAACAATTCCAGATTCTTGGAACTCAATCCCCGGAGCTAGAGGATGCACTCCGCAAGCATGTTCATTCCGGGACTTATCCAGACAGTTCCTGACCGCAGGAGTCAATAAAATCTTCGGTCTCAGCACTCAAGATACTTCTTATCAGCAAGAAGTCAAGACGAGACTGAATCTACCGTTTGAGCTGCTCAGCGATGAGAAGCTGGACTTCGTAGAAGCCCTGAAATTGCCGACCATCGATTGGGAAGGCAAGAGCCTTATCAAGAGGATCACGCTTGCAATTGCTGATGGGAAGATTGTGAAGATTTGGTACCCAGTCTTCCCGCCAGACCAATCTGCCCAGCATGTGTTGGACTGGTTGGCGGAAGAACAAACCAATGAACAGAAATTTGTTGGAAACAGACGTATGTCGGTCACATGAGATATCTGTATGATTCAAAATCTCATATTCTTATTCAACACGTCTTTCTGTGCGTTCTCAATCATTTAGAGATTGTTGGTGCCATCAATGGGATGATTCTGAAGACCTTCGCTAGTCAACAGGGTGATACCGTCAACATCAGGATGGTAATGCACGGACCATGTGTCAAATAATCTTCCACTCACTTACACCACGACACCGACAACGAAATACTGACGACGGAGCTAGATCTCTCTTCCGCTTATTAGACAACGTGTTACCTGCCGACGCTGCGTAACTCGCGTTCTGATACGCTACACTGACGACCTAGACGAGCATATGAAGGCAGTGTATACGGTCGTGACCCGATCCGCTCGTTCGCCTTTGTCAATCAACATGGGAGACAGTCCATAAGCCAAGGAGAGAGTAGCAAGCCAACATAGGACACACCATCAACATTGGGATGAGATGCTAAGCCATCGTTGTATAGTGGGAAGTCTTGGACAACGCAGGTCTTTTATAGATATACGAAGCATGGTCAAAACTTTCTGGATATGGAGATCGACTTGCGACATCATAAGGACAGTTGTTTGCACGCATCCATGCCCGGGTCGGTCTTATCCGAAAGGTCTTCTCTGCTGCCTGCGTATAGTGATACTTGTGGCTTTCTTATACGCGTATAGGTCGTACAAGCAAATACGCGTATATTGAGTTTGACCTATAACACTCGAAACAGCCAAGGATCACCACCCTACCAAACCACAATCGTCTAACCAGATTTCTAGAGAGCCTATACGCGTATAACTGTCGTACCAGTTTTGAAACTTAAGACATAGCCACACGGTTTGATGATCACAGCCAGGATATCATACGCATTTAGGATGGCAGAGAGGTATATATATGGTCTCTTCTCTCTATGTCCACATCAGAAATCCACCGAGCACTTCTGGTTTAATTGTTATTCTTGAAACACCCTGAATTTGTCCTTTGCTTCTCAGGATGTTATCTGGCATCGTTGTCACGGCAGTCCTCTCGGCTACTGCTGCTTCTGCTCTGACCTATCAGAATGTTTCCGAAGGCTACTCACCAGCAGACAAGACTTGTGACTACCTTCACAGGACCTTTCCTGATATAACTTCCTTCTCCAACCAGAGCTCTTACATTGTGGATAACACCAGTAAGTATCATGAACCTGCATGCCAACCAAGACAGTAGCTTACTTTTCCTTCTAGACTTCTGGTCTGCAGCATCTGTATTGAACCCAGCATGTGTCTTCGCTCCCTCGGGTGCAGAAGACCTAGCCATCGCCGTCAAAGCTCTCAAGTACTATGGCTCACCCTTCGCCATCAGAGGAGGCGGACACATGCCCATCGGTGATTCCAACAATATCAACTCCACTGGTGTCCTTCTCTCCAGCAGTGGTTTCAAGCGCTTAGCTTTATCCCCTGACAGTTCCACCCTCCATGTCGGTCCTGGAAACCATTGGGGCGATGTTTACAACTTCCTCAACAACACTGGCAAGAGCATTGTCGGTGGCCGTCTTGGTGTTGTGGGTATCCCTGGTTTCATCACCGGTGGTGGTATCAGTTTCTTCAGTTGGAAGTATGGTTGGTCTTCGGCCAACATTGCCAGTGTCACGGTATGTTTGACCGTCAAATGTTAGGAAGGAGCGAGCTGACTGTTCGGAAAAGGGCGTGATTGCCAGTGGTGAAGTCGTTACTGCAACCCCCGACAACGATTTCTCCGATCTCTTCTGGGCTCTCCGAGGAGGTGGTAACTCTTTCGCCCTTATCACCGAATTTGAAATGATCACGATCCCTGCCCCTGTGGTCACAGTCGGCACTACTTCGTATGGAACCACGAATCTGACAAAGGAAAGATGGTTAGACGCCATCTACAACTTTGCTTTGTATGGGGGTGAAGATTGCCACGAATGCACGGTAACACCAAGTGCCAGTACTGGCACCCAATACCCGAATGGAACGACCTACACGGCGATGAAATTCTTCGATGGCAATGACACCGCACCACCTGCTCTTTCCAATTGGACCTCGCCGTACTTGAACGCAACTTCCGACACCTTTGCCGCCACAACAATGACTGGTAAGCATCTACTACACTGTACCTCATCTTTCAATCGACAGCAAAACTGACATACAAGTAAAATAGAATGGAGTCAATCCGGCCTCGCCCAGTTCGACTCCATCCACGGCCTCCGTAACCGCTTCCACGTCCTCTCCACCTACGCCGACCGTCGCGCCCTCCAGATAATCCACGATACCTTTTTCGCTTTCGTCCCCATCCATCTTTCATCCTTACAAACCTACATCGCCACATTGACTCCAATGCCAATCTCAAAACAATACTTCCGTGCCAGCAAAGTCCGTGGTGGAGACCCAATGGATTTAGATCCGGAAGATGGCCCGCATATCTGGTATGAGATGAGTGTTTTGTACACGGTGGAGAGAGATGAGGAATATGTTTCTGCGTTTTTAAGGGCTGTTGATGAGGAAGTGAAGAAGATGTTGGCGGCTGAGGGGATCAAGCAGCCCAAGTATCTTTATCTCAATGATGCTGATAAGGGGCAGCCTGTCTTCGAGGGTTATCCGGCGGAGAATGTGAGAAAGCTTAAGCAGATTAGGCACAAGTATGATCCGGAGATGGTGTTTACCAACCAGATGCCCGGTGGCTGGAAGGTTGCTCACGCTTGAGATGTAGTAGATGGCTACTCAGAAGGATAGTCTTGAAGTGTATATTATAAAGATTGTATTCGTGCGTACAAATATCCGTCTATTGGAGAAGAGAAGGGTGATTATCATGCGAGCATACAAAATGCTTACTATGCAGTCGAAGCTCTAGATGTTGAAGCCAGTCGGAAAGGAAGGTCTCGCTCTTCATAGCCTTCCACTTCATCGTCATCTTGATTGCTCTCTTCATCTTCCTCGTAGTCCTCGTCATCGTCCTCTTCTCTATCTCCACCCTCTACAGACTCAAGCACAGAGTGATACATGGCAGCATTATCATCATCCTCTTCTACGCTTCGTTGCGCCTCTGAGATGTAGCTATCACCCATATCGCCTTCATCCTCACTGAATCGCCGCGTGTTTGCTCGTGACCTATTGTTTCCACCACGCACGGCTCCACGTATTGACTCATCATCACTGGAGTCATCATCGCTCTCGGAAGCAGAGAAATCTGCAAGTTCGAGCGGCTTCTCGCGCCAGTAGTTGAAGTCTGTAAACTCTTCGCCGCCACCTTTGACGAGTAGACCCACGGGTGGGAAATAGTGGTCTACGATCTCGCGCATGCTTACGTAGCCAGTCTTGTATGTGTTCAACGACAGAAGATCCAACGACACTTCCGCGTTGGAGTTGATTGTGAAGATTCTCGTGCTGGGAATGTTGACCGAGCGGTATGACAGGGCATCTGTCAGACGATTGCCAAAGCCAGCGTAGAATGGCGAGCCACCCTTGCCGCTCGACTTTCCGACCAAGCCAGTACTACTTTCAGCCGAGGTTGTAGGTCCCGCTGTGGCTGCGTTGTTGCTGCCGCCCAGTCCAGTAAACAGGGCCATGATATCACGCAGACAGGCCATCTTGAAGACTTCCGGCTTTCGGAGATACACTTCTCGTCGCAGAGCGGCAATGGTTCTGTCAGGACTCATGATGGTTGGTCCCCTTGGTAACTTGAAGCCTCCATCTTGGACCACACCAGCAAGATAGCCTCTCGTTGTATCTGCTTGGCCTACAGATCGAGAGGTGAGGTATAATATATTATAGCCGTTGGCTGAAATTTCTGTGAACAGCTTTGCTACTCCGAGATGAGTCCAGTCGCGACCGATCATGTTCAGCACATGACCCAGTGCATCTGATTTCGTGATTGTTCCATCAATGTCTGAGATGACAATAGGCACATCCCACCGCCAGCGGTAGATCATAGCAGTACAGGTAGCGCGGTTAACGCTGAAGCTCATAGTATTGGGCCCTGGCTTGAGTTCCAAAGACTTGAGTTGATCGCTAGTCAGGCGAAGTGTTTTGGCGTAATTCCGGTTGGGATCTCCTGCAGCTTGAGGAGAAGCAGGCCCGGATGAAAGGCCTACGGCACTGTCAGAGTCTCGTCGCATATGCGAACCGGGATATGTGGCACTCGTTTCGCTACGGGAGTCGTCTGAATGGTAACCAGGATCTGACAGGGCGTCTGTTGAGGTGAAACCAGCCGGCTGTAGGACATTCAAGCCCTGGGCGACTTTCCTGTTGGCCTGTTCCTTTGCCTCTTCACTGCTGTAGATCCACAGGTTGCCCTTCTCGTCTGCACCAATGAGCGACCCAATGTCATAATTTCCCTCCAGCTCTTCTGACAGGATCTTTCTAGCCAGAACTTCGGCGCGTAAGCCTTCGTCCTCACTGCTCTTGTAGCCCGTCATGTCCAGCATGATGTCGCCTTTGTCGGTAACTTGAGAAGGGATATTGGAGCCCCATAGCTTTTTGGAGAGGTTGATAGCTCTAGTCATGGCCTCTTCGGCAGAGACAGGGGGAGGACTTGATGAGCGTTCTGTTCGTGAGCGAGAAGAATCAGAGGGAGCGCGCATGGCTATTGGGTCGCTTGTTTTCATCGAGGCGCTGATGGCAGCCTTTGCAGCGGGAACAGCATCGTCGGTGGCAGAGCGGTGGAGATGGGCGGGGAGCGGTTTGGGATATTCGGAAGCGGCGGACTGGTCGGCATGGTCGTCGATGGAGATGCCCTGACCGTTGTCGCTTTGAGCTCGTCGTTCGGAAGATTGGAGAGGGTTGAAATTGATTGCAGCGATGGATTTGGCGTGCTCTCTTCTGTTGTACGTGGGGGTAGCGGGCAGGGTGGCCGATAATGAGTTGAGGTCGAAGGAGTCGGGTTCAGCTAAAGCAGACGACGAGGTGGATTTGAAGTCGGGACTTGTGGCGGGTGAGACCAAGGGAGAAGTCTGAAGAGCTTCGGGCACGCTGGACGAAGTCTCAAAGACAAAGAAGGCCTCACCCCCCTCGCCGAGTTTCATAGGGAAGTCGCGACGCTCATCGTTGACCTTGAACTCAACCTTCTTCTCAGAGGGCCGGAGTAATGAGAACTTTCCGAAACGAACGTGGAAGGGCGAGCAGGCAAGAGAGCCGTCTTCTTGCTCGACTACAATGACGTCGATCGCGCCGCTGAGGGTGGCCGGGTTGATCGAGTTCCACGTCTTGGAGACGGAGCCGGACAAGGAGCGCACGTATTGCATGGCGCCGACGGATGAATAGGTCAACTCGAGCAGAGGTGCATGTGGACGGAGGAGCGATGAGGGAGTGGTAAGAAAGTCGGTGCAAGGACAAAGCAAAAGTGACCAAGCAACCAAGGTCCGAGAGCAGAGTGGACAGCTGATGCGGAAACGCGGAGTCAGAAACGATATAATCTTCCCACTCGTACGACAAGTTCTGGCTCTATATGCACTCGTCCTTGGGTTGGCGCCTGCCTATACATCCGTGCTCATGCCAAAGACCAAGGAGCAGCATGTGATATTGTCTTTGCTTGCATGTGACAAAGCTCGAATGTTGGAGGGTTGAAGCTGTCCACGAGTGCTCTGCATGGTTGACACAGATTCAAGCACAAGCACAAGAAGCCTCGGCCTTGGCTCCCTGTCAATTTGATCTTCTGTCAAGATGAATTGATCTTCCCCCGCCAAGAACAATGGCAAGAGCAGCCAATCCAACGCGCTCCACTCTGCCGTTTGTTCCCTTTTCATACATGGCATTCTCTGAATTATATGCGATTATACGGCGTAATTAACGGTCTGTTGTTTTGGAGAGTACAGAATATACATGGAAGCGGGCGGACTGAGCTTGACGCGACCGAGTGCACTTCATCACGCTTTCTGGGCGGCGGGCGACACGGCGGCTTTTGCATCTCAGGCTCATCCTTCTTCCTTCAAAGCCATGCGCCTGCTCATGTTGCTGGACAACGCATATCTGCTCTTCAGCACTACTTTCAACACCTTGTGTGTTGGTGCCGCTCTCGTCTGGTATATATATCTCTCTCTCCGCCTCTTCTGTCGACGACGTGCCCTTCCTGCCCATCTCGCTCTCCATCATCTGTCCAGTAGCACGTGCTGACCCATAGCAGGCTCACGTATCGTGCCTATCTCGTTATACATAAACCGCTAGATGAACTCGTTGGCCTTCTAGGTTGCGAGATCCCTCAAGACCCTCATGTCGACCTCGCTGGAATCAAGGCCGATGGCTTCGTTCTGCATTGGAAGCCTGCCGACGAACGCAAATCCATGCATCGCTATGAGATTCAACTAAACGGCTCCATCGTCGGCCAGGTTTCGCATTCCAACACGTCAATCGTCATCTCCAACCTGCGACCAAACCAACTGTACATTGTTCGCGTCATCACTGTCAACGCTGTCGACTTCCGCGCTGCCAGCAGCCCCATCCGTCTCTGCACGAAACCCGCCGATTCCCAAGACTTCTTTGATACGCCATCGTCTACTGATGCCTCCGTCTCTGGTCCCGTCATACGTCCGCTGCACGTCTTTCCGCCAGATACCTCGGCCGTTCCTGCGACTCCACCCCCTCTTGTTCGCGAAACAAGCAATGGCCCGTTGCAGCCTAAGAAAAGTCTTTTCGGCAGACGCCCATCGCCCTTGCCTGGTCTGGACACTCAACTCTCTTCATTCGACGAAGGTAACGATGAGGACGGCCCAGGAGACAATCAGCAAGCCTTGACGGAGAAGTTGGATGAAATAGGTCGCGAAACCGCAGATGTCGACAAGCAGATTCAAGAGGAGGAGCAAGAAGCCGTTGGTGCCAAAGCCAGTCTGGTCAAGGAACGCGATGAATTAAGGGGCGAACTGAAAGAGAAGGATGACACCAGTAGGGATCTCCGCAAGCAAGTCAACGCTTTGGAACGCAACAATCAAGCGGCACAAAACAAGAAAAATGCACAAGAAAAGGCGCTCCAGCAAAAACAGAACGAAAGACAGAAGTTGAAGGACGATGCTGCGAGATGGCAGAAAGAGATGGCACAGATGCAGGATGACATGGGCAGTATTGCAGAGCAAAAGAAGGCTTTGCTCGAAGATACGGAGCGTGAAAAGGTCGAGCTGATGGAAAAACATGCACTGGAGTTGCAGACGCTCAAGAGCATGGAAGATGAGAACAAGGAAGTCGGCAGCCAGATCAAGAAACTCGAAAGAGACAGCACCAATTCTCCCAGCGGATCTGAACCCAACGAGCATAACGACGCCCTGGCTGCTCAAGAGGCCGAGGAGGATCGGTTGTGGGCCGAGAAGCTGCGAAGGCTGGAGGAACAGTATATCATCGCTCATCAGAACATGGACGCTGCCCGTCGTTTTGTGGACAATGCTTACCAGCAACTAAACGCCGTCAAGCAACGCCAGTCCGAAATGGCTCACATGGCTTCTGCCGTTCCGCCCATGTTCGATCAACCCATCTCACGCGCCAGCAGTCTGCGACAGAGAAGACCTCCTAGCGGTCCTTCTGCAAACAATTCGAACGCATCGCCCTTCGCTTCTTCTACTGCTCCTGCTTTCAGCAGTGCTCTTGCCACTTCGGGTCCAACTACCATTTCGCCAGGCTTTACCACCTCTGCAACTTCATTCTTCAACATCAACAATGGCATGACTTTGGATCGTCCTATGAACGACTCATCGTTCTCTCCGGCAGAAGTCGAGAAGCTTACCGGAGGTGCTCCAATGAGTCCGAGTGCCGGCGCAGAGCTCTTGCCTGCAGGCTTGCTCAGTAATTCTGATGAAGACCCGCATGAACGCTTCCTCGGTCCAGCCGCCCACATTCATACAAAGGATGACGATGATGCTGATTCTGATGGTCGCCAGCCATCAAACCAGATGTTACCAGGCCTCGGTGTGCTCCCAGGTTTGGGCGCGTTGCCGGGCTTAGGTGCTCCAAGACCTTTTGATCAGCCGCAGGGCCCCACAAGTCCCGGTTCTGCCAGCAGTAGATCTCCTAGCTTGTTTGCCAGTCCGCGTGCCAGTGCAAGCAATCTGATATACCAATCTCCTGGTGATACCATGGATAGCGATCGTCGCTCCATTAGATCGAACAGGTCTGCTCGTGCAGCAAGCGGCAGTGCTCCTCACACCAGTGGTAGTCGCTTCGGTCAAATCCTTGGTCTTGACAAGCTTAATCGTCAACGGGGCAAGACACTCTCGGATGATGGTCCAGCACTGGGCTCTTTAAGCAAGTCCCAAAGCCAGTCCTTACCACGCAATGATGAAGGCGATGCATCTGGTGCGTCAGGTCGCCGTAGGAACAGCAGCCACTCGGGTAACTTCTTTGGGCTCAATCTGGGTAGGACGACTGGCCATACCAAAAGCATGGGAGCTGAGAGCCTGCCTACTCAGAAACACATTGCTGTGCGTAGGAGACCTTTCAACATGTTCAGCACCAAGACCGACGGCTGGGCTGCTATTCTTGGTCAAGACAGAGCTGCTGCATTGAACGAGAGATCCAACGGTTTGAGTAATCTGGGCCTAGATGACGGTCGATCATCTCCGCGTCCCATCTCTGTGCACTCCAATGAACTGCCTCGTCCATCCCAGGATAGTTCCTCTTGGGGGCTCTGGTCTTCCAATGAACCATTCAACCAAAGGAGTAGTCCACTCAGCTCGGATTGGATGGCTGCCCCGGCAGTGACACATAACATGTGGGGATCTAGACAGCCCTCCAGACGTCCTTCAATTCAGCATGGGCAATCCGGTGGCAGTATGTCTTATGACATTCTCGAAGATGGCATGGATAACAATAGCTCCTACGCTTTCAGTCCGCCGCAATCAACAGCCAGTCTAGCACCTATAGGTACCAAGCCTGCCCACATGCTGAAGCGTAACATTCCGGACCCAAAGCTCAACCCAGCAGCCAAAGACTTCCGCTCACTCTTTTCACGACCCAGCTCTACTTCATCGGATGCAGAGGACGAGGAAGACGACAAGATCAATCTCATCGGCGCGACGCCAATTACCTCTCCATTCAAGGCACCTCACCAGGCTCTCCCTCTGAATCTCGATCCAGAGTCATCGCCAGAGATTGGTCGACAATCTAGAGATGCGCACTCCATCAACACCGAATCGTCCATCATGTCAGACTCTCGCGACAGTCTCGACCGCAGCATCAGCTATACGGCATCAGACTCTGCCCCTTCAACATCCATAACCTCCACCAAAGGTTTCATGTCCAAGCTCACCCGTAAGCACAGCAGCGGCAAATTCCAATTCCCAACCTTCTCTCGCTCAACGACCGAAAGGTCGAAGCGCGAATCTCAACTCTTGGACGTTGAGGACGAGGAGAATATGAGCAAGAGCATGGAAAGTGTTGATGCCAAAGACAAGGGAAAGGGCAGTGTTAGAAGCTGGAGTAGTGTTTTCGGCGTCGGAAAGAAGAAGGATAAGGTGCCTCAGACACCCAAGGAGGAAACGCCTAGTCTTTCAGGAGCTAGTTATGCCAGCACTGATCATGGAGAAGAGGATTAAAGTGGAGGAAGATACATTCATTGGTAAAATCTCATTTCGTTCACTCTTGTCATGATCAGGAAACAGAAGAGTGCTTGCAGTGCAGTGAAAGTGGCCTTCATTGTAGTGATTCAAAGGTTACTGACGTAGCAGTCTCCCCTGCTCCAACATAAAACACATCAAACGGTCCTTCAGCGCACTTTCAACTGCATCCGGTTCATACGAACGTATGGCCACTGCTCCAGACAAGCAAACTGCTTCGACACCGCTGTCTGCTCTCGAAGACTCAAAGGACTCAGTTACCAGGTCAATGACCCCACAAAACGTCCTGCCTTATCTCTCCATAGGCGAGCATTCTCTGTCTGAGCACTATGCTGCGACTCAAGTGTAGATATTCTGGAGATACGTCCTCCTGGGGCCCCTCTTCTGAGCACATGAATGATGGCAACATCTTGCAAGATGTCATTGTAGGTATATTTGACCTCTCGCTGTTCGTGAAAGAGTGTGAGGGGGTATTGTCATACATTGACCTGGTATCCACTGTCCGTTGTTCGGCTCTGGGTACACCCAGATTTAGGACCTGATTTAGCCCATCGAAGTTCAATCTGGTGCGACCTTCTTGTTGCCCTTGATCTTGGTCTATGCAGGGGTTTGCTGGTGATAAGCGTAATTGTTCTGAGGGAACGGCGTGGGTTTGTAGCGGCGAGCCAGCAGTGCTGCAGACTTTGGTGGGTTCGCGTGCTTGACGCCAATCCAGTCGTAACTCAGGTTGATCTTCATCCCGAGCTGATACAGCATATGGATGTGGTTTCTCAATTTCGTCAACAGCAAGGACAGTCTGCAAAGGAATTTCACTTGACTCTACCGTCATTTCCAAGTCATGAGGATGAGCAGAATGAGATTATTCGATGGGGTCTTTTATCTGTCTTGTTCTTTTACTCATCTTGAACCTTAAGATGTAAGGAAAGTCAATTTGTTGCCGGAATACTGTTCTGGCTCAGAAGGTTACGATATTAGCAGCTCTATTGGCTCACTAGCGGCATTCAAACTCACTGACCAGTTCAAACCATGACTGAGTACCGAAACAAAAGTGAGGCACTGAACAGTCAAGGCCAAACTTCTACAAGAGTATGATTAAGAAGGAAGAACAACTCACCAACGAAGAGCTGATATACATGTCACTGGACGTGGAGTTCACAAAGTCGTATGGCGTCTGTGGAGACAGAATGTCGAAAGAGATGCCATCATGCCAATTGTCAGAGAAAGGCAGAACAGAGGTCCATGAACACCCCTGCCCTTGAACCAACGACCCATGTACCAGCTCCGTATGTCTTTATTCCTTGAATGGTAGCATGGTGACTTAACAGCCACAGCGATCTGGCAAGAGATCAACCCCTGCATCGGATTTCAAGCACATTATCAAACTATTACTGCATTGAGACTCTCGTGATTTGACGTCTCGTGATATACCACAAAACAATCGAACGGTCTGTTCGCCCGAGACCTCTGGAAAGAAAACGCAGGGAAGAAAGTGGTTCTTGCACCATCGATTGAGCAATTCTTTGAAAGACAAAAGAAGGATCTGTATGGTGGGCAAGAGGATGCCACGGATTGATGGAATGCCACCCATGGATCAGTAAGAGTCGCAATCTTAGAAACGAAGAGGAACTATTTCGGATACAATGGCGGAGCCGAACACACCAGGGATGATGCGGTGAGTAGTTCCTTCTGCGGGGGTGAGTCCATTCCGTTCTGCTGCTTTACATCTTAGAAGCAGCATCTGAAGATTTTGTCACTTGATCTTAGGGAGAAAGTGCAGGGTTTCATCCATATGCAGAGCTGAAATTCGCATTACGCTCGGTGTAATTGTACATCTCGATTGCTGCCTAGAAGTACCGTCTATGATACATGTTTTTCCTCCCTCCTATCATTCGCGGCAATGGCGAGTACAAAATCAAGCAAAAGTGTATGCGGCTTGGGCCTTCCGATTTGATATCAATGCACCCTCAACTATAAACAGTAGAGTGCAGGTGAAAGTAGAAGCAAGAGCAACGCTCGCGGGAGTACCGTAGTACTCCTTGTGAGAATCTGACGATGTTGTGATATTGTGACCAAGCAACAGCATTAGTCGATTGTGGCGAAGAAGGCTTGAACTTCGCCATAGATACTGTACAGAGCAGATTCATCACCTGTTCTGACGGCCTGTATCATCCTCCTCTTAAAATCGATCATTTTTGGAAGCTCAAACACACGCATGGAACGCTCTTGGGCGATCTGAGCGCACATGCGGCCATAATCGTTTGCCAAATTCTCTCTGGCGGATCTGGTCATGCTTGATCTGTCTTCGCTGGGTGCATTGGATGGCGCGGACGGATGGGTAGTGGGTGGAGTGATGTATGGGACGGTGTGTGCGAGGAGTACCGGAGACTCCAATCGTTCCTTTTTAACGCGAGGTGACTCGTCTTCCTCCGTCAAATCAAGAATCACGCAACCCCTTTTCCGTGACTGCGGTATGTGGTCTGGCAACGGGACTGGGAGAGACGGCACTGCCACTCGGATGGCAGATCCCTGCGGTAGACTACTTTGGCTGGAGCGCAAGGACATGCGTGGTGTCACGGGAGCCTGTCAATAGGGTTAGCATATGTGTTCTATGAAGTGTTGGACACTTTCCCACCTTTGTAACTTCTGGTTCCACCGAGTCAAAATCAGTCAAGCTAGAGTCATCTCCAGAGTCGTTGGGGTAGGAGGCGTCGAAGTCGCCGTCAGGAGTTCTAGGATCGGATGAGTCCCTTGGTATACTCTTACTTCGATAAGGAAGGGGCACTGGTCGAGTTGTGCATATGTGGCTTGAGTGGAGACTGAGTGTACGCGAAAGACTTCCGTCTGTCTTCTGGAAGAAATGATAACCATTACCGCTGTGCCAGACAAGCGCCACCATCTTCTCTCCTTTCAGGTAGAAGGTGTATGCCAGAAGACATGCTTTGACGACATTACCCGGTGGTATCGTCACGGGAATGAAGTCGAGAGTAAGAGCTTCGCATGCTCCATTTTCCTTTCTGCAAGCGGTGCAGCAGACTTCTCTGATGGGGAGGTTCCCAGACTCATCCTCCTGCCATTTGCCGTTGTCGGAGGTTGGCATAAGAAAGCGAGGGAAAGCATTGTTCGTCTTGCTCAAAACATTGGCGCGGCAGAGGCCAACCATCTCCTGGAAGCTGGGGAACACACCAAGGTATTTTTTCCCAGGACTGTCTCGATAGCCGACCCAGATATTCGAGCTCTCTGTGTGAAAGGGTGTGCCTTGGAAACTTGATTGTGGATTTGAGCCATGTTTTCCAGGCTCGTTGGCGGGCGAAACACAATGGAATGTGGGCTTTGGGAGCTTTGGCCTTTTACACGGCATTGTCGACGTGTAAGAAAGAGCTGTGCTGAAGTGTTTGTGACTGGCTGAAGGTTAGTAAAGCGCGCGATGAAGTGATGAGGTGGAGTGCGCGTAGTAGGTGAGAAAGCAGGCTTACTTGTGGTTACATTCGTGACGAGTCCAGCAGTCGAGTGAAGCCGTGAGGTCACTCCGATGTTCGAGTCGAAGCTTGTTGTTTCCAGGTTGGTTGTGGAGTTTTAAGCAGCGGGAAGATGGTGATTTTAGCAAACAAAAAGTGGGAAGCTGCAGGTCAGATGTTGTACCACGACGAAATCTTGACAACCCGCTTAATCAAGAAAGCGCCTCCCCGTTTGACTTGTCACTTTTTGTTCATAGCACTTCCCGATTTCAGGTTTCAGTTGGAGAAACACACTTGCTTGAGAATCTACGTGCATAACCATCATCCATCCTCCATCTCTGCGACACTCCCATCACCATCTGTCTACCCCCTTTTACCAGCGTTTATCTGTAATACTGTGTCGACTCGAAAACTCTCCACTCTTGTACTGTACTGTATATCTTCTTCGCGATTTCAGGGCATTTTCACAGGCTAACCGTGATGAGCGATCAGGTACACCTTCAATTCCATCCTCAGCTCCCTCACACGTGCCATATCGCCAGCAATAAGAGGCGCCTTCAACAGAAGCGCCATGGTCTCCACCTCGTCGTCATCCTGTGCGCTGGGATATTTGATGTAGGTATCATGCAATAGACTGGACAGTGCTTTCTTCATCGCGGCCTCGTTACTGGATCCGTCAGCCTCTGTCGAGAACATGTTGGTCTTGTTTGATGGAGCCAATGCGGTCGTCGGAACTGTTGCGACTGGAGAAGGATCATTCGCAGATGACACGGTCTCGGTAGAGCGATGATCGGGTAAAGGTCCGTCAGACACTGGGGTGGCTGGGTACTCCGGAACGCTGAGGTTTACAGGGGTTCTTGGTGCGTGTGATGGAGAAGACTTGATCATGATAGCAGGGCAGGATACAGTCTTGTCGCCTTCAGAGTTGCCGCTACTCTCCAAGACAGTTGCCGTGAGGTTCTCGATCGACTCGCGAACCGTGGGCTCAGTGGTTTTCTGGGAATCAGACCGAGCACTTCGACGGCTATTGAGCTGCTGCGTGAGCTTTCCGTACATGGTTTCGATAACAAAACTACAGCTGTCAGCGAATGCATTTTATCAATGGATCACCAAGGACAAACTTACTCATCGGCAGAGCTAATGCCACCCGCAGACCCTCCAACCGTCTCTCTGATGCGAGCCATGAAATCGTCGCGAGCAACCCCTCCGTCGAACTCCAACAGAATGATGCCGCCGGTGATATCATCGTCCGTCTCGTTGATGTCGTGGGTTGTGCTCTGGCTTAGAATCACCTTGAAAGAGCTCTGGCGGCTGAACAGGACGTACGGTGCATGGTTCTTGGTTATCTTGAATGAAAGACCATTGATTGGATCGATTAGTGGTTCTTGCCCAAACTCGATTGTGAAACAATTGGTTCGGTACTGCAAACTGTAACCTTCTCCTGTGAGGTGATAGGCAAGCATGCATACCTCTTTGACATGCATCAGTGAGCGATCGGGCTTCTGTGTCTTGTTGGTGATTTGGCCCGACTGCCCAAGGGGTGTCTTGGACAAGGGCCTAGAAACGAGCTGTTTCGACACAGTCTTGGAAGTCGTCGAGGTTTCGGAACAGACTTTCGTGCCGCTCTGGTGTTTCTTACGCATCGAGTCGATTGGTTCCACAAGAGGGCGTTTCTTGGAGTGAAGCTTGGAGGAAGCTTCATCTTGACCACTCGTAACCTGTTTGTCCAAGCCACCACCCACGGCGAGCGAACGTGCCTTCTGCATAAGCTTCAGGGGCACGTCGTCAGGATCATCGAGGTCGACTCCCTTTTGTCTGCTGAGAGCGACTTCGCGTACCGACAAACCCTTCTTAGGCGAGCCCAATGTGCCAATATCGGTGCTGTGAGCCGACCTGGGACTCTTGAATACAGATACGTTTCCCTTGGAGAGACCATAGGATTCATGATAGCCGCCGGCGGCCTTCCAGAAGTGATACTCGCCGTTCATCTGGCGATGTAAGATGGCGAAGAGCTTCTGCAGTCCAGTCTCCTTGGACAGACGGACATAGAAGGGATAGATTATGACCTGATATAATGTCAGCATGATGCTCGGGCGTCAGCATGAGAGTAACTCACATCTCCCACCAGCTCAAACGACAACTTTTCCAATCGAGAAGGCTTCTCATACTCGACAAAAGGGCTCTGCGAAGTAGGAGAACAACTCTCACCACAACATCTCAAACGCAAGTTCTGCAGCCTCTCATCCTTGGCGATGGTGTCCGGGAGAGGGAATCGCGGATCGCCGGTGAGGAAGCGCGCCAGCAGTTCAGTGTAGCTAGGGTGTGGCCAGACGCGATTACTGAGGTGGTCAAAATCACCGATCCATGTCTCGAGGTCGAAGGGCATGGTGCGGAGAGGGCGCAGGCGATCTGAGCCATGGTTGTAGGCTTGCTCGGCTGGCGCGAAGCAGATGTGATGGCGAGTACGCTGGGTGTCGTGCTGGGGACTTGAGACCAAGGCTGGTTGAGCCATCTTAACGATCTCAACGACCTCATCGTCGGTGGCAGCTGAGATGTGCTTGCGGACAGGCACCATTGTATCGGTTTATAGGGATTGCAAAGGTAGTGAAGCTTTGAATGGAACAAAGAAACAGGGATGGGACTCGCAGTGAGGGGAGGTCGGTCTGACCAAAAGTTGCGAGCAGTGAGCTGTGAAGGAAAGGTGAAGGAAAAGTGAAGGAAAAGTGAAATAACTCTTCAATCAAACCATGTCAAGAAACAAGATGAGAACAGTGACGGGAGAACTCTCTTCTTGAATTACAAAACGTGTAAAATAGGATAGTGATGTACGAAACAACAATTCTAATGCAATGCATCCTGACCCAATTCAATAAGGACATTAAGCGGTACCCAATATGACGATCCAGCTCGCCTGCTAGCATCAATGGGAGCCTTTTGAAGGACGAGAAAATAATCTAGAAAAGGGCTTAGAAGCAAAGTGCAAAATATGTCGTGGCCACTTCTAATGGCTGTGACCGTGGTCGTGATCATGGTCGTGGTCATGATCGTGTGCACCTTCCGACGCAGCCTCAGTCGAAGCAGGAGCACAGCAGCTCTTGCCATTGCATGCATCGTCACAGTCGAGCAAGCAGGCATCTGCAGCAGCGCGGAGACTGTTGGCATTGCTGGCTTGCCTGTCCAATGTCTTACGAGAAGAGGCTCCGTCGCCAGCGAAATGAGTCTCGTCGGTAAGGGGTGCAGAGTGGTCGTGCTCGGGGTCGAGGCAGAATTCGGGCTGGATGGTAGAAGAGTGGATGCCATACTCGTGGAGGCAATCGCGGATAGCACGAGCAAGCTCCATGTATCTTGCAGAACCCTCACCCTTGAAGTCAAAGTCGACCTGAACATGCAAACTTGCGACAAGCTTGGTGTCGCTCAACTGCCACACGTGGAGGTGGTGGGCACTAACAATACCGGGGAGTTCCTCGATATCCTCCTTAATATCGTCGATGCTCAGACCAGCGGGAACAGCCTGGAGAAGAATGCGAGATGCGGCAAGACAAAGAGGAATGGCGGAGGCGAGAATAATGCAGGTAATAATCAGGGAAATACCAGGATCGGTGTAGAAGCGCCATGAGTAGTCGGTAAGCCAGATGAACAGAGCCGAGCCAATGACACCGATGTTTCCAAGAGCATCGCCCATGACGTGAAGGAAGACACCGCGCATGTTGAGGTCGTCGTGAGAGTGGCCGTGACCACCGCCACCGCTCGATGGCTCCTTGGGTTGTCTGTGCTTGTGTTGCTTGTGGTCGATGGGCTTTGACTTTTGGATACTACCATAGCCGTTGGCGCCACCCTTAGTGAGAAGCTGCTGCTGTGGTGTCTCGTCGGCGTTGTCGTCCTCGGCTGCAGACTCCTCAGTGGTCTCGCCCGATTCGATGTCCTGGAGTCTGCTAGTCTCGATGATGGAACGGCGGAAGGATGAAGGGTTGACTGGCACATCTTCGACGGAGTAAGCTCTTGAACGAGAGCGGCTGCTGTGCTTTGACTTTTGACGGCGGTGGCCGGACTGGGGAGCTTCGACGTCTTCATTGGATCCAGAGCCGCTCGCTGCGGTCTTGTTGGTCTTGGGCCAGTTGGCGACTCTGCTCTGGGGCAGGACATCGGCGACATTTCCAGATTCATCAGCGACATCAGCATCTTCGTCCTGGGCAGCACGGCCTTCTTCGGCATCGTTGATTGCGTCGGTGCCATGGGAGTGGCTGTGTCCGTGGGAGTGTCCGCCGTGGCTGTGGCCACCATGGCCGTGGTCGTGGAAAAGGAAAAGGCCGACAATGTTGGAGGCGAGACCGAGACATCCTACAATCAGAACAAACTTAGGGTTGCTGACTTCTTGTGGCTCAACGAAACGCTGGATGGCCTCGAGGAAGATGGAAAGGCATAAGGCGACAAGGAAGACACCGTTGACAAGGGCTCCTAGGGTTTCGGCGCGTTGCCACTGACGGGGCATGAGTATGTGAGGTAAAAACGTAGAAGAGGGTGTGTACGTACGCCGTAGGTGTACATCTTAGAGGTTGTCTCCTTGTTGGCGACCTTGACGGCCCAGAGACCGACGAGTAGGGAGATGACATCGTTCAGCTAGTGGTTTGTGTAAGTCTTTTGGAAGCTGCGATGCAGGAGAAGGAGCGACTCACCATGTGGAACGAGTCTGCTACGAGGGCAAGAGAGTGGACGGCATAGCCTGCGGGATCGTCAGTAATTGTCGCGCGACCTCAAAATGGCCGGGTAGACTGACCGGTGATAAGTTCGATAAGGAAGAAGACGGTGTCAATCGCTAGGAGGATGCATATCCTCGTCGATTTTGACAGACCCATGATGGCTGCTATTTGTGATTGCTAGAGGAGAGAAAGTCGCCGCGAACTTTCAAGACGTGCGGCGTCGCGCGTTTAAGTAAATGACGAAAGGCAAGCTTTGTAGCAATTGCGAGATCGGTCCTCTCTGCTTAAAGCTCGTCTCTTCCTACAGACAATTCACAGAGAGTGGCACTACAAGAATCCTTCGACATGAATCCCAAAGCTTGTCGCTTTTTTACTTTCGCCTGTCGACCTGTCGAGCTGCTTCGATTCGCCTTGTCACCGCGGTATTATAAAGCCGCCGAATCTTTAATGGCATGGTTGCCAAGCCCTGTCAGCTAGAGCCCTCAACATGGGGATTTCAGGTGCTGTGTTTCCCATCTAATCTACATCCTGGTATTCTCGCATGTGCTTGTTCATCAAGACATGCCTGCAGCTGGTACGATTATGTTGTCACGGTGCTGTTGTCACTGCTGGAGCACTAAGTTGGACGTGCCATACGAGGCAAGTATTTAGAGGCTTACTCTAATGGAAGGAAAAAAATTCCGAACTCGATCACAACAACCCACTCAACGGTTACTTGCGGCCTCCAGTATGACAACAAATCGACAGAGTCATGTCCACATGAGCCGCTACGGAAGACAAAAGATGCATAACCTGCGAGTGGGTTGATTCGAGGTAAGATATTGTAAGTAGAAGCTGTTAGCAAGGAGATCTTGTTAGGCTTCTTACCGTTGTCCAATGGCTCAAGTTTCTTAATGTCCAAATTAGCGTTTGCAAGAGCAGGCACATAAACAGACATTTCCCTGTTTTTCACCCAGTGAAACTTTCTTCACTCGTGATAACATGATCAGATGTAAGGGCTTATACATTCATTCCTTTTGCACATGGTTTACCTCACCTTTCCACCCCTTGCTTCTGTTACAGCGCAGTATTTAAACCTCTCGACCCTCGCTCATCCTTTCTTTCTTTTCTAAACGATGTTCACCTATTCGAAGGGACGGGCCGACGGAAAACAACTACAGCAATGGTGTTGTGTTATATCGTCTTGATGGTTTATCGCCGAGGAACAGTAGCATCGCTAACCGGGTACGAGACGGGAAGCCTCGTTTTTACGACTCTCGTTGACGCGACGAGAGAATTCAAAAGGCACACGGAACTGGAGCAGCATAAGGAAGAGGTGTGTGTGTCGTACAAAGTAGTGTCGAAATCATATGTTTCCTCGTCGATGTAATAAGGGGCTCGTTGCTTACGCTGCGTTACTTCCGTTCTGTTTACCAACTCTCGTCGACGCAAGAGGCAAGAGGCGATGACTTTACGGGTATAGACCTTGTCCTTCTTCAGTCAACCTCATGCCCGTCTCTCTCAACTTGAACTTCTGGATCTAATCATGGTTAGCTTCATCACGGGAAGACGTTGGACCCGATTCTTACCTTGCCGCTGGCCGTCTTGGGCCAGCCGTCAGCCCAGAATATGTACTTCGGCACCAGATGTGGACTCAGCGTCTCCTTGACCCAAGTCTTGATCTCCTTGGCCGTCTTCAACTTTTCTTCATCTCCTGCATTCATGTTCTTCGGCATGATGAATGCTGCGACCACTTCGCCGTACTTTGGATCTGGCAGGCCGACCACGCTGACGTCCGTCACAGAAGGCAGCGCGAGGATTGCGTTTTCGATCTCGAGAGGATGGATGTTCTCGCCACCGCGAATGATCAAGTCCTTAATGCGGCCAGTGATGCGCACGTAGCCGTCTTGATCCATGCTTGCTTCATCACCTGTGTACATCCATAGTTTTCCTTCTTCGTCGGGTCGAATCGCCTCTTGAGTACGTGCTTCGTCACCCCAGTAGCCCTTCATGACCAGATAACCTGCCACGGCAAGCTCGCCTCGTACACCAGGTGCTACGACTTTGCCATCTAGATCTACAACTTTGGCTTCCACGTGCGGGAGCAGTTTTCCTACTGTCTCAAGGCGTGCCCACATAGGGTCGTCGGTTGTCGTCATGGCACTGACTGGGCTCGTCTCTGTCATGCCATAGCAGATTGTCAATTGTGTCAGTCCAAGCACGTCATGAAGCTTTCGCATCAGAGCGGCGGGTATACTGCTTCCTGCCGCGATACCTGTACGTAGCTGGGAGAAGCCTTCGTATGGTACTGCGCCAGAAGCCAGTAGTTCGAGCTCACTGATGAACATGGTGGGTACGCCGTAGAGTGCCGTACATGCGTTCTCCTGTACTGCTCGAAGAGTGGCTTCGGCGTTGAATGACTCCGAAGGGAGGACTATCGCACTGCCGTGCGTGCTGGTGGCCATGTAGCCGAGAACGGCTCCGAAACAACTTTGCGGTCATCAGTCAGCTGTTCCAAACGACTGTAGAAGAACAGGTACTGTAAGGCTTACTGGAACAAAGGCGGCGGGCAGCAGACAATGTCTTTATGTGTCAAGAGCATCCTGTCACCAATACTCTTGCCATTATTGAGCACAGAACGATGCGTCAAACATGCCGCTTTGCTGTACAAACACAATCAGCATTCTGTCCGTTCCGACTGACAAGAGACGAACTCACGGCATACTCGTCGTCCCAGACGTGAACTGAATGTTAACAACTTCATCAGCATCCAACTCTTTCGGGGCCAATTTTCCACCCTCGCCATCTCTAAGCACATCTGTGTAACTGCTCAACGAGCCAAAAGCTGCAGTCTCCACTCTTCCAGCCGAGTTCTCAACCACAATGACTCGTTTGAGACTGGGTACTGCTTCTGACTCTAATTTTGATTTGTTCAGATCCGGCATTAGATGGGCCAGTAACGGCATGATTGATCGTGGTGCCTTGTATGGTAGGTTGATCTCGGATGAGATGATCAAATGTGAGGCTGCGAGGTGTGTCAAGGCAGACGTGATCTGTAGTGCGTTGAAAGCCGGATTTAATGGCACCTTAGAAATCAGGTTAATCTTGCTTCCGGTGACATAGAGCAATCTTGACTTACAAGCATGGCACCAAGTTTGAATAGCGCATATGTAGCCTAGTGGGTGTTAGCCTAGTCTTCTGAAATGCGTATGTTCGAAATCATTGGCGATCTTACAACACAATATTCCACTCCATTGCCCAGCATCACAGCAACCCGATCACCTTTCTGCACTCCTTGTTTTTCGAGTCCTCTTGCAAGAGCATCGCTCTGTATATCCAGATCGTGATAGGTCAATCTAGCGTTTTGATGACGGGATATCACGCTGGTTTGAGGTCAGTATACAGAAGATTAAATTAACATCCGATGATATTTACGCATTCCGATCGCCATGCTCGCTGACCACATCTCTGAAGTATTCGGGAATGGTTTGTTCGATCAATGGTGGCTGGGAAGAGGAGAGAAGTCAGCACACCTGATAATGCAGGAGCCTTCTATCGCTCTTTCCACAAGCAAAACGCAGATCTCTTGAGTCAAAAGTTCTCGAGGGAAGGTGCAAAGAAAACAAGACTTACCTCACTAGCCCCGCGATCTTGTGCTTGCGTCAAGATGCCACGGGTGATCTGGAGACTCTGACAAACTAAGCCTGGCCGTACGCATCGCAAAGCATATGGTCTGGCGGTCGATATCGAGATTTTGAGTGGTCGAAATAAGTGCATCCTGTCTTTGAATGTATAGATATCCGACAGTTCGTTTTGTAGTCCAAACAGTCAATGGGATCACGCGTCCGTAGTCTTTGCCTCTAGTATTCAATCCTAGGCTTGAGAGTTGTCTTGTGTTTGGGTGTAGTCCTTGCTCGAGGCCTCTTCCAGTAGTAGTCACCAGATCTTGCTATGAGTCCTGTGCTCCAATTCTGCTGAATCACCATGAGGCTTTTCAGATCATCTAGGAGCCTCCCTCCAAGAGTGGATATATGGCCGTGTTATTTGAATTGTGCTGATTGGCCGATTATGTATGAGTTTGGAAGTGGATCCGGGTTGACGGTAGGATACTGAATCGATCACAATCGTCCATGAGAGCAGCAAACGAAGATACAAAGTACTCGAGCATGTTGCAGGCATGCGCCGGAGAGGAACATAACCGATTGGGGAGGGGTAAGTATGCGGGGTGGTCCTTGTAGGGAGAGACCGCGGAATTAATCCGCACCGATCTGCTTTTACAGTCGTGGTTCTAGCGTTCTGACCTTGATAAACAATACCAACTGCACTCGAAGAGCTCGGTCAACCAAATATCCAACCAGCATGGCTCCTCTGGTCGTTCCCCTTTCGAAGTGTATGAGATGTAAATGGTAAAATAGTCATGAATACATATCTTCGCTGTCCCTTCGCTCTGGAGCAAGCAGAAAAAAGAATAGTAATTATCCAATAAGTAGAAGGAAAAAACAAGCGCAGAGCAAACGCAGAGTCGTGAAAAAGGAAGAATGGAAAGAGGAGCCAATGAGAATCGCAATAACAGGCTTCAACCCTTTCTCCACCTCGAAATGTCAAAGACTCTCTTAGAAATCCTTGAATGCGCTCTCGTACTTCTCCTTCATGTCTTTCGTGTATTGATCTTTGTGTAGGGGTTCTGGGTCGTATTCATCGAAGTTTCGCGTGTCGGCAGGTCCGCGTAGATGTGGTACGATGGGTCCTTGCATCTTGCGGTGGTACATGGCGTCCCAGTCGATGTCCTTGAACCAAGGATGTGCCTTGATGGCTGAAGCGCCACCCTTGATGTTGCCCAAGCGTTTTGATACGTCGACGGCGCAGAGCTGTGAAATTAGGTCGCGAGCGTCTGCGGACATGGCGGATGGGAAGCGGAGTTTGCCTTCGACAATTCTATGACTCGATCAGCACTGAAATGGTCAACTGTTTATTCTTAGTGTTGACATACTGTTCGTAGATTTTCATAGGGTTTTGGTCCCAGAACGGCGGTTGGCCGACCAGGAACTCGTAAATTAGGATGCCCAATGCCCACCAATCGACAGCTAGACCATGTCCTAAGAAAACGTCAGTATAGTGATCCAGCATTGAAAGGTCGAAAAATGACGTACCGGTGTTTCGGATGACTTCTGGCGCAAGATATTCTGGCGTACCGCACAACGTGTATGTCTCTCCTGTTCGCAGCCATCGTTAGCCAAACCGGTTCTTGCAGCACGACGTGGCTGGAAAAACCAAGGGTAAAAGCCGTTTGACGGGCTGTTACATGACGCGAGCGCCGGGATTGGGGTGGGTATACGCACTGTTCTCGACCTTCTTCGCGAAACCAAAATCGACGAGCTTAAGATGACCTTCTGCATCGATAAGTATGTTCTCCGGCTTGAGATCGCGGTATGCGACACCCTGGTGGTCGTGTAGGAACTCGAGGATCAGGACGATTTCGGCGGCGTAGAACTGTGACGTGGATTCGTTGAAACGGCGGGCGCGGCGCAAATAGCTAAAAACCTCACCACCAGGGCAATATTCCAACTATACCAGAAAGTCAGTCTGTGTGTAGCGGTTATTGGACTCTAGAGTGATTTACCAGCATGTATAGGGTGTCTTGGTCTTGGAAGCTGGCCACCATTGTCGTGATGAAGGGGTGGCCTGCTACAGAGGCTAGGACGTTGCGTTCGTTGCGGACATGCTCGACCTGCTTCAGACGAATGACATCGGTCTTGCGCAAAATCTTGAGAGCGAAGACTTTGTCGGCATCTTCTTTCTTCTGTGTGACGAGATTCGCAAGCCATACTCTTGCAAATGTGCCTGTGACGACCCACTTGGTCAGCGATTCTGCTCCGTTTTGACTGCGCGTGTTCAGGCTGCGGTCGCATACCAGTGCCGAGAGTCTTGACAAGGTCAAAGTCTTCGCGCCGTAAGACCTTCGAGCTGTGACCAACAGGCTTCGAGTTGGGCTCGACCAGGATCTGCTCATATTCCAGCGGCTGCTTGTGTGCTTCCCAAGCAAGGAGTCTGCTCTTTTCCTCTTCGCGGGCGCGATTGTTGGCCGAGGCTTCTGATCGGCTTTCCTTGCGGCCGTCCTTGTCTCTGCTGCTGCCGATGTGCAGCTTGGGCATGATGTGATGCATTGCTGCAGTCGCCATGGCCTATGGGCTTGTATTCCTTGTCGTGTGTAGATCGAGTTGAACAATGCCAACTCTTTGTTTTCGAGGCGGTCGAGGGGTCCGAGTTCGAGTTCGAGGAAATGGTGGTCTAGGCTTGAGCAGCTATAGTGTTATTGCGGGAAGCGGTCAAGTGACGTGAGATGCACAAGTCGTTTATTTCACTCGGCCATTACAGAGCTTCGTTCGAGTGGGCGAGCAATAGTGGGTATAAGATCGGAATTGAAGGGAAGAGAAAAAGAAGAGCCACTTGAGTCTGGCTAAGGGAAACAAGACTCTCAACCAAGTCTTTGCGCGGGGCTCGGTGAAGTCACTTCGAACTCGATCTCCAGCCCACCAGTGCAGGATTCCCCGTGCAGACGCAGCAGACCCATATCTGACCAAATCTCGCCGATCGCTCCGCCTGTCGCCAAAGAGACGTTGACGGCATGTCCGGCCAACCACCGAGTCGCGCGAAGGAAAGAACCACCGAGCGCTGCTTAGTTTCTTCTGCTTTGGCCTAAGCACCTGCCCATCTTGGGACCATGGCCGACGCCTTCTCCGCCTACCATGAGCTGTCGAACATGTTTGACTCGAGTCACTCGACCACCGAGGAGGGCCGATCTAAGACCAACCGTCTTTTACCTTGAGCTGAACTCAACCAGCATGCGGCGAACATGTGCAGCGGAACCTTTAAGCTCAACTAAAGAAGAAGCTTTTCTCTGCTACGCGGCGTGCTGCCAAAACGTGATCCCGTCAAGTTCAGAGATAGGGCATAAAGCAGCCACCAATGGATAAGACGAGTCATTCAGATGAGGCTGAATTCTACCTATTGAACCATACCATTCCCGTGAAAGCCGTTTATTGATCCATCCTTCGCTCGACCTTATCCTCCATCGCAAACTTAATTGAACAAACAGACTGAAACAAAGAGTATCGAATTTGATGTCGCATCCATCATCTTTTCATACTGGGACATTCCCAGTTCCTCCCAAAAAACACAACTCGCATATCTTCAATTGGGCCGTCGTCGCAAGAAAGAGATGAACAAGACTCGGGCGCCTGTGCCGGCACATTGAACAGAACAAAACAAGGAAACAATCCTCCCAGACGCCTGCCAATCCAGAAAATACACAGATTCAACATCAAAACATCAGAAAAAGGAGACTGCGGCCTAAACCACTGGTATCATGCGCAGGAAAAACATAAGGAGAGCAGAGGCAGACGCTCTTTTGGCAAAAGTGTCCAAACCAGAGTAAAAGGGAGGAACACAAGCTCTACAGCAGGATAAGGTAGTTGCTGGGTGCAATACCAGTGTCGCCGTTCTCTTTTTTGGCCTGCCACCATCTTCCGCTGACGTCGCTGATCTCCAGAACTTCGTGCTTGGAGAAGCTGATTTCGTTGGCATCGTCGGGGTTGGCCTCGTAGCTGTAAATAGCCTTTGCGCGGTAGGGGTATTCTGCGGGAGCTGCAGCGGTAGAGTTGGGTCGGTCCGTTGCTGCAGAATGAGGCGCAAGGTTGTTTGTTTGTCCGTAACGAGCACCGCTATCACGGTTGCTGTCCATTGCTCCCAATGCTCCTCCAGGGAAACCAGTAACGGGGGATGATGTCTCGAATCCGCTGAGCTGGGCAGAGGTGTACATTTGTGGCTGTTGCGAGACTGAAGTCTCGGGGCGGTAGCTGTTGTGCTGAGGCTGGCGGGAGATGCGCGATGGCACGCGACTGTCTCTGTGGAGTGCGAATGAATCGATAACGTTGCGGCTGGATGCGGTGGGCTGGGAACCATAGTAGAAGATCCAGACAATCTAGGAGAGCTGTGTCAGTAACATCCTTGCAGGTTCAGAGATGAACACGCGAGACGTACGGCGACCATTGACAGAAGGATGAAGCCGGCAGCAGCTGCTTCGTGAGCGCCATCAGAAGAGTAGACCAAGGAGTTAACCGAGGACGTAGTGAAGACGAGGCCTGCAGCCAGAAATCCGACGATCTGTGATTGATGAGCAAGAGTTACTGGCAGTAGGCGGAGAAGAAGCCTTTGCTTACAGCAACGTGATATGTGAAGACAGAGTCGGAAGCGACCGTCACTAGCACTCCAATGATGCAGAAGAACATGTAGACAAGAGCCCACCACGAGTAGTTGGGATATTGACCATGGATCTTGGAGATGACTGAAGCTACAAAGGCAATGAGCCAGGCGATCTGTACCATGTTAGTAAACCGGGTTCGATGAAAGAATTGCCAGGGTCCAATGTCGACATACAATTGCTATCGAAGAAGTCGCAAGGGCGAAAGGGTCGCCAATGATCTGACCGCAGCTGAATCTCGGTTTGCGCCCGCCGTAGACATCACGGCGACCGGCCTCCATTTTCTGCAAAGATGGCGAGCCGAGCGAGCTGTATGGCATGAAGATCCGAGAGAAGAGTGAACAATGCCGCTTTGTTTAGGACCGAGAGAGCAGGCGTGTGTCGGCGGCAACGGAAGGGACAGCGAATGAATACTCCGAACAACGTGTCAAGCTGTGACAGGCTTGTGAATTGTCTCGTGAAAGGAGCGACTCGTCAAGGAGATCAAAGTCTTGAAAAGGACGTGGCAGCGCAAGAGAAGGACGTTTGTGGGCGAGAACGAAACGGCTTGCGCGCGTATCTGGTGGTGGGCGGGGAAAGGAGAGACAACGGTAGGACAAGAGTCAACAGGAAAAAGGGTTCAAAGTTAGTAGAGCAACAAGAGCAGACGATAAACGAAGGGCGGTCTGCGTCTGTTGCAATTGGATGTGGTTGTCGTGGAAAGGACAGCCAAAGTCGATGCGACAAAGAGGAAAGACAGAAACGATGGAAGACCCGGCTTAACGTGGTTTCAAGGAGTCGACAACAGATGAAACACGTCGCCCGCCAAGCCATGCATCACAGCCATCTTCCAAAATGGCATGGTGGTAGGCGCTGTCATCAGCCCTCCCGTACTCTCTATTGAGACCAATCTGCCAGTATTAATGACCTCCATCGCGACTCGCGCTATCCAGAAGTGCCCAGTTCAAGATTGCCATACGAGCGACGTCTTTCTATAAAAATAGACCCCTTCTCCGCGAAGACCCACCCGAGACACAACGGACAAGAGAAATTCTCCGCAGTCCACAAAGGTACAGAGTCGACTCAAGTCACAGGGCTGGAAGCAGTCCATTGTTCACTGCCCTAGCTACCAAGATGTGGTGCTTTCCAACAATAGCTTTTTGCAATGTTTGCAGCAGTTTCTCTGGCTGGACAAGGACACGCCTGCATTGCGATTTCCTGCCCTGAGGTTCAAGTGCAATGGTAACTAATATTGCACGCTCTGTCTTATGGCTTCCCCTGCATATTTTTTTCTCCTAGCTTTCCCCATCGTTCAATACGTATCTCACCAACGGAACTGTCGGAGACAAAGGGACGTCAATCGCTCGGATGAGGGTGCTTGGCATAGCCATCGAATCGATTTGTAGAGTCGAGATGTTGTTCATGCAAGTCTTACAACAGCAGATGGTAGCGTGGTCCAGATAGACAGACCAAACAGGTAGGCCAAATGGATATCTTTTCTTTTATCAAACTTGGTATTGTGACTACCCATGTCATGTGTCTTCTTGCGATCTATAATGCACAAGATCTTCGGTAGGTTCACCTTTTTGGTCACCGCTATAGAGTTTGAGCACCGCAGTGCCTCACAGGGCGGACGGCCACACAAGATACCGCCAAACATGTGGGGACTCCCCAGTGTTACCAGAGTACAAGAAGAGGTCAGATCAAGGATATTTTTGCCTCTGGAAACAATTCATCCACGAGAATCATGGTCGCAGCTAAGAAAGCAGTCCTCAATGTGACCGCCCAGCAAAGTCGTTTTCATGCTCAGACAAAACAACAATCCGCTTCGACAGAGGTAAAGAAACATGAGGAGATGCAAAAAACTAAAAGTCTGACGAAAATATCCCTAGATCACTGTCAAAGACCTCAGCATCACAATTGGAAACCACGAAATCCTAAGTCATGCTGAATTACAGCTACAGCCAGGCAGACATTACGTCTTGATAGGCCGCAATGGTGTGGGTAAATCAAGTGGGTAGACAAACATAATTTCTGACGATTCTCATGCTGACATCCAAAACAGCACTCCTACGAGCTATAGCAGATGGACTCGTCCCTGGCATTTCCGCTCCTGTCCGAGTCTTGCTCTTAGGCCAAGTACAAGAGGACGAAGACAAGGACAGAGATGCTACTGCATCGTCCTCACCAGACGAGACTGTCCTCGAACATGTCTTGCGTAGCGATAAACTACGTGAGAGACGACTGTACGAAGCACGCAAGCTGTCCGAAGCCATGGACAACATCGACGATCCGACTGCGATGTTGAAAGCATACCGTGAATTGACGCACGAACGACTAGAACGTGAAGTCGAAGAGGCTAAGCTTAAAGCGTCAAAGACGAGTGGCGTGATGGGACTAGGAGCTCGAAAAGCGCTTACAACGCTAGAAGAGGAACTGGCTACTGCTTCGTCCAGGCTTGACCATATACACATCTCGAACGGTCTTGATGATGAAGACAGCACTACAATCAAAGAAGAAACACAAAAGGCAATCGACATGCTAGCAGACATACAAGCATCCCTAACATCAGTACACTATTCCCCTCTATCACCCATCTCACCCATACTAACAACTTCCCAGATGGACGCCTCCAGCGCAGAAGCAAAAGCCCAAGCAGTCCTCCACGGCATAGGCTTCTCCCCCTCCCGCATAACTCAGCCCCTCTCCCACCTCTCCGGCGGCTGGAAAACCCGCTGCAATCTCGCATCAGCACTATGCCAACAAACCGACCTCCTCCTCCTAGACGAACCGACAAATTTTCTAGATTTACCCTCTATAATCTGGTTGGAAAACTACATACAGAATCTCGATCCAAGCACTACGGTGATAACGGTAACTCACGATCGCGCCTTTGCAGATGGTGTGGCGGACGAATTGTTGGTGCTGAGAAACCAGATGCTGGAAACATTCAAGGGTAATGTATCCGGTTATGAGATTGCTAGATTGCGGTCGTACAAATACCTCAGCAAGATGCAAGCGGCACAGGAAAAACAGAAAAAACACATCCAAGCGACCATCGATCAGAACCTCAAGATGGCGAAACGATCTGGCGATGATAAGAAGTTGAAGCAAGTTTCCTCGCGCAAGAAAAAGCTGAATGAGAGGATGGGTATGGAAGTCTCGGCCAAAGGTACCAGGTTCAAATTGAACCGCGATAGGCCTGGATGGCATGATAGTTCCCGTGGTTCTATCGATGTGCCGGAGTTTGATCCTCCTGTGCGCATGGCCTTTCCTCTCTTGCCTTCTGATCTACGGTTTCCTGGCGCTCTGATTTCTTTGGAGGGTGTTTGTTTCGACTATCGCACCAAGAGTACGCAAACGCCTATACTACACGACATCAACCTCAACATCCACTTGGGAGATCGAGTGGGTATAGTAGGACTCAATGGCTCGGGAAAGTCTACTCTGGTGTCCCTGATGACTGCGAGCCCACGGGAGAGCCCAGGTGGTCCTGTACCAAAGAAAGGCAAAGTCGAACGACATACCCGAGCAAGGATTGGGCTGTACTCTCAGCAAGCAGTTGAAGAGCTTCAAGACATGGCTTCGACGCAACCCAGGTTGACTGCGCTGACCCACCTCGTGGAGTTTACAGGAGGAAGTGTCTCAGAACAAGAAGCTCGTGGTCTTCTTTCTTCCCTTGGGCTCGTTGGCAAGATTACATCAGAAGTGCCAATAAGTCTTCTCTCGGGTGGTCAGAAAGTGCGTTTGGCCTTGGCCAAAGTGTTGTGGAACCCGCCGCATCTACTTATTCTGGACGAGGTTACTACGCACCTAGATCCGGATACGATACAGGCGCTTGCCCTTAGGCTTCAACACTACAAAGGAGCTATTCTGCTCATTACGCATGACCGCTTCTTCATGCGTTGCGTGATCGAGGGCGAATCACCTAAGCGCACGAGCAGAGGCGATGAAGACGAATCCGAAGAGGATACAGATAGTAGCGAGGATTCTCTTCCGGAGAGCGGGGTCGTATATCGTCTTTTCAAGACGAAACTGAAGAAGCTGGAAGGAGGTATGCAGCAGTATGAAGACATGGGCACGAAGCTGTTATCTTGAGTAGATAGCTCCTTGATATAGCACTCAATTCGGGTTGTCGATCAGTCTCTTCTCGGCCTCTGCTCTTCTGACGAGTTTCTCCTGATCCATGAGTCGGGCTTCCCATTCGGTCCAGCAGTCGTCCATTCCAATGATGCCTAGATGATACCACCTGCCCAGTAGTGCGAGGCTTTGGTGTCGTAGTTGAGCGATAGATAGTTGTTGATCGTCTTGTCTAGTCGCGACGCGTTCGAGACGTGGATGTAGTTCAACCAAGGCGGCCAAGGCAGAGGAGTTCGGCACAGGAGTGTCTTGGAGAGAAGTTAGACGGGCAGCTGTGGCCTGGTATGACGGAGCGTGAGAAAGAACGAGGGCGGCTAGGGCGTCCGAGGTCATGTCAGGGCCATCGTGTTGATGTTGTGATTCTGTGAGGTGGTCAGTCGAGTCGGAGACATGGTGTGCGACAGGCGAGAATTACGCAAGGCGACAATGGCCTGAGCGCTCTTGGAGTCGGACAGGACCGAGTTGAAGGAGGATTGCAATGCTTGTAGTCGGGAAGCGATTGATTGAGTTTGGGTTATAGTTGTGTCGGTAGGCGTTTGGTCGTCGTTGTCGGCAGCGGCAGCGGCAGCAGAACCGTAGAGCAGGAAACGCACGCGTTGCAGTCGCTGCTCGAGAGCGTCTAGCGTTTGGAAGGCCACATCCTGAGTGATAGATGACATGGTCGTGTGATGTTATGATGTTGTGACTGCTTTCTGCGAGTAAAATGACGGGAGATGGCGAGCTTCACAGATCAGGCACAATCAGGGTCGTCGGCAGCGGAGTGCCGCACGGCGTGGCTTGGCCGAACGATAGCGACCGATACAAGAATGTCTTGCCTTCGCAAACTCTCTCACGCTATGTTTTGTCGCTGCTGAGGTCAAAGTCGCCGGCTCAGTACGCAAGCCCACCACTCGGACGAGGACACAGAATGTCTGGTTACGCCTCAATCCGCTCTGCGCAAAGCGATACTTCATCCCGGCCCAACAGTACCGCCAGCATGTCGCGCCGTCCACGACGTAAGGAGAATGGACACCACGGCCAGGCCAGTTGGCTCAGCAGTGTCATCAACCTCGTCAACACCATTGTTGGCGCCGGTGTGCTGGCCATGCCCTCCGCTCTGTCCAACATGGGCATCTTCCTCGGCATCTTCGTTATCATCTGGTCTGGCATTACCTCCGGCTTCGGTCTCTACCTACAGACACGATGCGCAAGATACCTGGATCGTGGAAACGCCAGTTTCTTCGCTCTGAGTCAAATCACATACCCCAATGCTGCCGTCATCTTCGACGCTGCTATCGCTATCAAGTGTTTCGGTGTCGGCATCAGTTATCTCATCATCATTGGTGATCTTATGCCAGGTGTCGTCCGCGGTTTCACAGACACCCCTGCTGCTGAATACCTGTTAGACAGACACTTCTGGGTTACTGCTTTCATGTGAGCATATGTCCAATTGTTGTCTCCTTGTGAATCTCCCTAACTTGCAGTCAGGCTCGTCGTTATTCCTCTCTCGTTCCTCCGAAGACTTGACTCGCTCAAGTACACCAGTATTATTGCTCTCATTTCTATTGGCTACCTCGTCGTCCTGGTCGTTTACCACTTCGCAAAAGGCGATGATATGGGTCTCAAGGGTGACATCAGTCTCTCGCCCGACAAGGGTATCGTCCCCGTCTTGGCCAGTTTCCCTGTCATTGTCTTTGCCTATACCTGCCACCAGAACGTAAGCAGCATCCTTGTTTCCATTTATCCGTCGTGTTCTCATTCTAGCAGATGTTCTCCATTCTCAACGAGATCGAGGACAACAGCCCCTTCAAGACGGGCTCAGTCGTCCTTGCCAGCATCGGTAGTGCCGGTAGTATTTACCTTCTCGTGGCAATCACTGGCTACTTGACGTTTGGTGACAATGTCGCCGGCAACATTGTTGCTCAATGTGAGTTCCACCGCTTATCTCCTGGTATGATTCGATACTAATATTGTCTCAGACATTCCTTCTGTTGCCTCGACAATCGGCAAAGCAGCAATTGTTGTGCTTGTCATGTTCTCGTATCCTCTGCAAGTACACCCTTGCCGTGCTTCGGTCGACGCAGTACTCAAGTGGCGCCCAGCCGGGCGTAAGCAGCCAGACTATGCTTCAGCTAACGGCTCTCCCTCTCGCTCAACTCTCCTGAATCCTGCAAGCAACGCGCAAAGAGGCCGTGGTGAGATGAGCGATAGACGTTTCGCAGTCATCACAACAGTCATTATTATCCTGAGTTACATTGTGGCCATGACCGTTTCGTCCCTGTCGGTCGTGCTTGCCTACGTTGGCAGCACAGGAAGCACATCGATCAGTTTCATCCTGCCAGGCTTGTTCTACTACAAGATTTCATCGCCAGACTCGCCGCATCACCAACGATTGCTTAAGGAGGACGATGATGAAGAGGCGGACGGTGAAGGGGAATCCGCAGCAGGTGGATGGAACAGTGGAAGCATCTTGCGCAAACTCAGTCTGGCACTGGCAATCTACGGATTCTTGGTCATGATAGTTTGCCTGATCACCAACACATTCTTTGTTGTTGCCCACTAATTTAGACATGAGTTTTACAAATCAAAAATGAGATTTCTCCCATGGTGGAAACACTTTCACATGCCTCGGTCCAGACAGTGACAATGACGAAATCCGGGGAAGGATGTGGGGTGACATGCGAGGTGCATGTCCAAGGATCAAAAGGCTGGAACAAAGGTGCCGCCTCTTTCTGCATGACCTCCGCAGTATACCACAAGTCAAGTATCATTGCCCCGCAGAGCAGGGAATCGACAGAAGAAGTCGATAAAAGGTGCGTCCTGGTCGTCTCTTTCCTCAGCATCTGAGGTGCCCTGCTGACTCCTACTGTAGAAACATCCCTGCACACCATGTCGGTCTACAACAGTCAGCTGGTAACAACCCTCGTCAATGCTATCGACCGCTTAAACTACTCTGCTGACTATGGTTCCGAGGATGCCTTTGAGCTCTACCACAAGATTCAAGAGCACAATGAGCGTCAAGGCTCTAGCACCGATGGCATAGGTCTCCCTGCCCTGGGCCATGCCCTAGCAGGCTCTGCCGGTACTGCCTTGTCGCATCTCATCCTCTATCCTCTCGACCTCGTCATCACCCGTCTCCAAGTCCAGCAACAACTCAAGACGCCTGGAGAAGCTCCCTCGGCAGCAAAAGAAGCCGACGATGCCGAGTACACCAGTCTCGCCGACGCTGCTCAAAAGATATACACACATGAAGGGGGTCTACAAGCTTTCTGGAATGGCTGCGCGACAGATACGGCAAAGAGCGTCATTGACAGTTTCCTCTTCTTCCTCGCCTATACCGCTCTCCGCCAGCGCCAACAGAAAAAGCTCAACACCAAGTCCCTACCCATCTTCAACGAACTAAGCGTAGGCATTGCCGCCGGAGCTCTGTCAAAATTCGTCACAACACCCATCCAACAAATCGTCACCAGAAAACAAACAGCTGCTTTGATCGCAGCAAGAGACAAGACGTCAACACTCCCACCAGGTCTGGCCTCTCAACTCAGCATCAAAGACATCTTCCTCCAAATTCGCAGCGAGCGCGGTCTCAAGGGCTTCTGGGCAGGCTACAGCGCAAGTCTGATCTTGACTCTAAACCCAGCATTAACCTTCCTCCTCCAAAACCTACTCAAGAAGACACTACTCCCTCGCTCTCAACGCGAACACCCAGGTCCCAAAGCTCTCTTCCTCATCGCCGCAATGTCCAAAGCTACAGCATCTACTGTAACTTATCCATTCAGTTTGGCGAAGAGCAGAGCACAAGTTTCCAAACCCATGGCAGAAGAAACCCAACGCCAACCTCCCTCATACCTGGAGAAACCAGATCTATCTTCCGATTCCAAAATCACCGCAAAATCCAAAAAAGTGCTGCGGCTAGTCTTCTTCCAACAATTATCCCAACTCGCCATCATCCGCTCCCTCAAAAACATTTACCACACCGAAGGCATCAAAGGCCTCTACAGCGGTCTAGACGCCGAAGTGGTAAAAGGTTTCCTCGGCCATGGGTTGAGTATGGTGTTGAAAGAGCGCATCCACGTCTTGATCATATCAGCTTATTACATGCTGTTGAAGGCGATGAAGAAGTTCCCGGAAGATTTGGGAAGTGTGGGTGAACAGGCAAAGGGGGAATTCGAAAGGGTTAAAGGTGCGGCGGTGGGGATGGCGGAGAGTGCTGTCGAGGTTGGTAGGGAGGCTGGTCAGCGTGTGCAGAATGTTGGTGAGACTGTTGTCGAGGGTGTCAAGAATGCTGTTGAGAGTGGGAGTAGTGGTGTCAGTGGGACCGTGCAGAGTATGAGTGGTGGTGTGAGTGAGAAGGTGCAGAATATGAGCAGTGGTGTCGGGGACCGCATCCAGAGCGCCAGCAACTCCGTCGTCGAGGGCGTCAAAGGTGTGATCAAGACGGACGAGTTGTGAGGATTGAATTGCCTTCATTGTTGTCACGATGTCACGACGGGGATAATGGTTCACAGTACTAGTTCTTCTTTTATTTTGTAAATTCTTCTTTCTTGTATTAACCAAATGCATTTGCGAATTGAACTTGTTCTTGTTTCCTGAAACAAAGGCTAATGATTACATAAAATACGGATGCAATGATAAAAGACGCTTCTCTCTCAACGAATCTATTGGTATGAGAGGAAGGTGCCGGTGTTGGTCGTGTTCAAAGGAGGTCTTTGCGGGGCTGAGGAAACACTGCTCTCGTTGATGTTGGTGAAAGAAACGGGAGCCGAGGCATCCTGGATGGTAATGGTGTTGGTGAAGGGAGTGGGCTCCATTTTGTTACCGGTTGATCCGACGTTTGTGTATGAGCTCGGGATGGCCGTGGTCTCTGTGGCATCCATGCTCTTGAATGGAGTAGCGGCCACATTGCTCTGGATAGAACCATTGCCACTGAAGGGAGACGGAGCTGCGGTATCCTGGAAGTACGAGCTAACGTCCTTGAACGGAGTGGGCTGCAAGGCTGAGGTTGAGGTTGAGCTGTTCTCGACGCTCTGGAATTGGGTTGGCTGTACGGCTGACGTGCTCGTTTGAGTAGGCTGGGTAGGAATGGCAGTAGAGGCAAGGCCTGCTTGCTGCTGCTCTGCCGGCGCCGTCAATTTGGCGTCAGGCACGTACATCTTCTTGACAGGTACCTCGTCTTCCGCGCTGTGATAGCGCTTCTCCGTCATTGCGGGTCTGGTTTGCTGCTGTGTCTGACCAAGACCAAAGTAATTACCTTGGTCCTGCTTGTTGTTGGATGCCTCTTGCTTTTCTTGTGCTGCAAACTCATCCGGTGTGGCACGCTTGGGGTCATACTCGAGGAACTCAAACTCAGGAGGGGTGAAGCCAGAAGCGGCTACTTCTTCTGCTGTCTTATCGAGCCATCCACTCTCCAGGATTTGATTCACGGACGGCCGCTGATAGGGGTCGGCCTTCAAGACCCATCTGAGAAAGTCGACCTCACCGTCCTCCAATCCTCTTTGTCGCAAGAGCTCCCACTGATCGCCCTTGTGTTTGGTTGGATCGTTCTGGGGCAGCGGTACGCTTCCGTAGACAGGTTCATTTTGTAGCTTATAGTCGTTTGTCAAAGCACTCTTGACAGCGTCCTCTCTTTCTTTCATGCCTCCGCTCTTAGTGTCGAGGTCGTCGTAGAGGCCGGTCTTCGAGAAGCGAGTACGGGCTTCGAGAAGATGGCAGTAGATGAGGGCCCAGCCCCATACGTCGACTCGTGAGGTGATGTCGCCTTTGAGGTAGACTTCGGGAGCACGGTACGAGATGGGTTGGACTTTGCCGTTCATGGGCTCCATAACGAGACCTAGATCACCCAGCTTGGCCTTGAGATGATCGTCCTTTCCTTCCGACTCAGCGTTGAAGCCGTCGACCATGATGTTTTGAGGCTTGAGGTCTGCGTACACCAGGCCTTGAGCGTGAACATCGCGCAGGCCCACAAGGACGTCCTTGGCCACAGTCTTGATCTCGGCTAGCGACATGGGTCTCTTGGTACGAGCACCCCAAAGGGTCGTTTCGGTGATCTCTAGGACGATCATTGGTGGATCTCCGGCCTTGAGAGGGGGGATTCTGTCGAGTTGTTGTCGGATGGCTGGCGAGTCTTTGAAGACTTCGTGCATGATCATCTCGTTCTGGAAGCTGGGCCATCCTGGCTCTGTGTCGACCTCGCCGGGCTCTTTGATGACGACGACCTGAACGGGCTTCTTGGGATCATTGCTCTGCTCGACGGCAGTCCAGACGTTGCTTTGGCCTAACGGGCTGACTGCTAGGTACTTCTTGCCCGTCTCGCCCGTTAATGTTGCGCCTTCGGAAAGCATTCTATCGTGTCAATTGGTTGTGATGGAAATACGTGGGTGGATTGAGATGTTTGAGGTGGAGGAGGAAAGTCGAGAGACAGTTCAGACACGTAAAGTAGTTGAAGGTGTAACGAGCTTTGCGAGACAGGCAAACCACAACAAGCAACCGGTTTTTGCGTCATCAGATGACGGAGTGGTTACTGAGCGACTCCAACTCAGCTGAGCATGGGTGTTTTCCCTGCTTCAACTCTGCTTCCAACAGTAATGCCACAACTCAATCGAGCCTTCCGTCGCGTCTCTCTGATCAGCACTCGTGAGCAGCAACTATTCCCGGTACCTCGACCAAGGTCCATGCATCAGGCACCTGCAGCTAGAACAGATGGAAGCAGATGACAGCCCTGTTTCGAACCGCCGTTTGGTGCTTTGTCGAAACAGCGTCAGAGGCTCAATGCTCAACCCCACAAAAATCGCCATGACGCCAAGAGAGACGCGTCGAATAGGGGTGTCGTCCTTACGGTAAATAACTGGTAAATCAGCACGGTCAACTTACTCGGTAAATAACCTCCAAAATGCGTAAATTTACGCAAGGGCCTCGTCACCCCACCTTAGTTGCTTGGTTTTAGAGGCCTCTTAAGCACCATGTCGTCTATATACGCTCGCTCGACCATAGATCCGACGTGCTAACTAAGTTATTATAAGTATTAATAAGGCCAAGAGAGAGGGTAGTTCTTTGAGGGTTAAATAAATAGTCGCTCTAGCTCTTAATGTCAGTAATTGGCTTATGCACCATACCTCGCGTTACTTACTTTAAAAACATATAGTTCGATGCCTATACTAACTTAGAGGGCAAAGAGACTAGTCGCTATCGTTACTGCATTAATAAGTGCTATTCTAGAAGCTCTACTAACCGTAAGGGGTCGCATCTTAAGGTCTACACCGCCTTCTATGCCTATATTAATGATCTTCTTAAAAGGCGCTTCTAAGGCGATGTCGAGGCGAGGTTAGATCTTAAGGTAATTCTAGCAGTCTATATTAATGCTGCTCGCGAGGAAGTGCTAGATAGTAATAAGGAGCTAGATAACAAGACGAGACGTACGAAACTAAACCGCCTATTCGCGTTAGCAATGCTTTAATCTAGGATACCATTCTACTTGTTTAGTAATAAGGCATAGAAGGACCTATTTAGGGAATTAGACTATGCACCGCTAGGGCAAGAGAAGCTATCTAGCGAGCTCTTAGATAACGCATATGCTAATATAAAGAAGAAGGTAGATAGGATTATTAATTCTTAAGGTATTAGGTGTCGACTTAACTTTATTAGCGATGAGTCTAATGCTTTAAATAAGGACCGGATCATAAACATATCTATTAATGTTAGCGAAGGATAGGCCTTTCACCTAACCACTTATAATACTAGATCGCTTAAATAAGACTATAAGGGCCTATATAAGCTCTTAATCTCGAAGATTAAGGCCTAGATCGGTAAGGACTTGTCTCGTTAGAGCAGCCTCTATACTAACACCTATAGCACCTAAAGGGTAGTCTATAAAGAGCTTAGGCGACATGCTAAGACTACTTATATATAGGCCGTCCTCTATAATGCTTATAGGCTTTAATTGCTAATTAAAGACGCATTCGTCGATCGGAGGACTCTAAAGGCGATACCCTTCTATAAGGTCGGTATAGCGCGCGCTTAAGCGGTAAGTAAGGTATTTCGAGGAGCGAATAAACTGCATAGTTTACTAGTTAATATTGCCGCGGAAGAGGGCTTAAAACTACGCGCCTTCGCTCTATTAGTAATTACTCGATAGGGAACTTAGTTCTATGTTGTTAACGCACTTATAGTTAAAAATAGTGCAGTCCTAGCACACTTAGAAGAGTTGCAATTCTGTTACAATACGGTAAGGTTCTGTTATAGATAGGTCTATAATAGGCTACAACAAGTGAGGGGATGACAAGGTTAGCTTAGCATCCTAACGTCTTAGTAGAGCAGGATGTTCTTAATAGATTACGCCCATAGTTACTCCTCTTCTCTTTAATTAATCAATTACATAGCTATATACTGTTAGCTCGCTTTCGTTAGCAAAGGTCGCATCTCCACCTTCAGTTAATTCTATAGGCTCTAGGATTACTTCCTACCGCTAGCTAGAGTATTTTATGCACCCGTTGCACGTCTTATTTTAACTAGTTATAAGCCCGGGTTTTACATAATCCCGGAACCTATGTAACTTGTTAAGGCTCTACTAAGAACAGTAGGAGATAAACAAGAGGAGAGAGACTATAGTAACTAGGATACATAGTCACCTATTACTACTAAGGCAATAGAGAAACTTAGTCACCTATCACTACTATAGCAATAAGGATACACAGCTACACACATACATTACTAAGGCAACTAGGATACTTAGTAACCTACATAACTATAGAAACAGAGACATATAGTTACCTATTTCTACCCTTTAGACAACTAAACCTACTTAGGCAATTTCGCCTTAGTTAAGTACTTTTAGAAATCTATCCCTTCCGCTAATACACACCTTTAGCATATAATAAGTTAACTTGCAACTAACACATTAGAAATTGCAACACGATAATAGAAAGAGAGCTTAATTGCAACTACAACTATAACATCTTTATAAGATGGATTTAGTAGATAACTANCAATGTAGATAAATGGTTCATATAGATGAGAGACTAGCTTAAAGCTAAAGGGGTCTTCTAGACTATAGAGGGTACATCTACACCCCCTATAACACCTCCTACACCTACATCTATTATAGATAGGGTAAAGAACATTTCCCTTTAGGATCTACCTATTAGTAGAATAACTAACGTTACACTCTTTAGACAAAAGGATGCAAAGGCTAGATACTACATTAGATTATCTCTAAATGAATTTAACCTTAAATTAGTTAAAGAGGAAGAGACTTCTAAAGCTATCTAGGAGAGACTCTAGAAGAAGTATAAGACAAGACTTGCATCTATAGGCAGACAATACCTAGTTAAATTCTCTACATTTAAGATTAATGCATCTACTTCAATTAATGCTACCTAGCAACAAATCAATACCCTAGGCAAGAAGGTTGTTAAACAAAGACCTAAGTTGAAATCTCTTAACTTAATTGAGTCTAGAATTTAGCAACTACTTGCAGCACTACCTATTAAGTATGCTGCATATAAAGTAGGAATTAATGCTAGAGGAAAAGTTGATCCTAAAGAAGTCCTACTTATTCTAAATGAGGCATAGGCAACTATTAATCTAGAGGCTACTCACTATATAAAGAAGCCTTACTAGAACAATAAGTCTTCTTTCTAGAACAAATCTTCTTTCTAGAAGAGAGATATACCTACTAGAGCAAGGAGTCCTTTATAGAGAGATAGATAAAGCTATCATCTATATGGTGCACCTAATTACTAGATAAAGTCCTATAACTACATCTCTATAGTTAAGGCTTATAGTAGAAAACTTCGAAGAGAGCATCTAGATAATAAGAAGTTAAGTAAGTAGATATCTTCTTAAGGAACTAAAGTTGCAAGACTAAATAAGGAAATTAAATACCTAAAGAAATCTATTAAATAGTTGTAGGGAAGCAAGTTTACTAAGGCTTATCTTATAACATAGACTAAATTAGAATCATCTAACTCTAGTTTAGACAGCCTATCTAGAAGTAATTAAGAAGAACTAGAAGTTAAATTCGTAAACCTAAGCAAGGAAAATGTTAGTACTATAATAGTAGACTACTAGATATCTAACTCTAGCGCAAGTTCTTATATAACTAATAATTCCTCTCTCTTAAGTAAATTTCCTACAACTATAAGACGAACAACAATCGCTATTAGTGGAGGGAAACTCTTTTTAACAAAGAGAGGAGTTATAGATATAATAGACTATAGAGGAGGGAGATTTAGATTAAAGGATGTTTTGCTTGTTCCTAAACTTAGAGTTAATTTGCTTTCTAGGAGAAAATTGTGTAAAGCCGGTTTAAAAGGTAGCTTTAATTTATAGAACATGTACTACCTTAATAAGGATAGTAACATTATTCTATATGTAAAGGAGAGAGGAGGAATCTATATCCTAGATTCCATCTTACTAAAGCTAGCTTAGATAAAATCAAATCTATAGGCTTTTATAGCAACTTAGTCCTAACTAGATAATCTACTTAAAATAGATGTTGTAGTACCTGCAACAATTGCACCTAAGGCTCTACCTTCTATTTAAGAAGAAGAAGTTAAAAGTGAATCTAATGCTAATGCTACTAATAAGAGAGATGTTAATAACTATATGCTATATTACTAGAGATTTGCCTACCTTAGACCTACAAAGATTGCAAACCTACATAAGGTTATAACTATAGCTATACTAGTCAAAGTTGTTAAGCACATATGTTAGACTTATACACTAACAAAATTCTGTAAGTTAAAAGGTAAAGTATTAAATAGAAAGGAACACCCCCTAGAAAGGGTATCTATTAATACATATAGACTATTCCCTACCTCTAGAGAAGGCTTCACCTAGGTAATGGTTATTAAAGATAACTATATAAGAATGTCCTAGATGATTCCTATTAAAGAGAGAAAGGAATGCCCTAATAAGCTTGTAACCTAGAAGACTTAAGTTAAGAGATAGTCTAGACATCTTCTTAAGAGTGTTAGACTTAATAATGTAAAGGAACTAGTGAAACACTTCTCTAGACTTAAAGAATAGTATAGAATTAAAGCTTAGATAACAATCCTATACACCTTAACATAGAATGGTCTAGTTAAGAGGGAAAACTAATAGATTAAGAATGACATAAGAGCCCTTCTTAAGGATTTAGGTCTACTAGTAGAGTTCTAGGTAGAAGCCTATTAAGTAGGCATCTATATTAGAAATCGGACATTAAATGGACTAGTCATTAATGATCACCTTATAAGCCTATATAAAGCTTTTACTAGAAGAACCCTAAACATAGATCACATTAGAGTCTAGGGTTATAAGGTTCATTCCTNAGTAGAGAGAAACCCTCGTAGTAGACCTAGGATTAAGAAAGAAGTTCTACTAGAGCAAACTATAGCATAGGGGAATCTAAAATTAGTAGGAGTTAACTAAACTCTATAACAAGATATGGATACTAGATAAGATAATCCTACTTAGAAACCATCATTAGTAGGAGTAGATGAACTGCCTAAATCTAATAGAACTATAAGAAGTTCTACCTAGAAGGAAGCTATAACTAAAGCCCCTACTAAAGTTCCTATTGTAACAACCCTAGTTGTAGCAACACTAGTTGTAGGAACTAAGGATACATCTAGTTACCTAGAAGCTATACTAGTAGAGAAGCCTAATGTTAATATTGTCATTACTAAACTACCTAGATTTGATAGGAGTTAGTACAAGTACATTACTAATCCCTACATTAATGAACAAGTTTAAAATAGGAAAAGGTCTAGAGAAGAAAGTAATATAGACTATTTAGAAGATGAACAAATGGCAAAGCACTATAAGGCCTTGTTTTCCCTTCTAGCCTTATTAGTGATAGATAAGGATGTGTTACAAGATAAAGACTATTAGTTAATAACTAAATATCTTCTGTAACAATTCTAAGAATCCTATTTACTATAAGAGGATAAAGAGGTAGCATTTGTTGTATAAGGAAGAATGGACATCCCTATTCCTCTTACCTATCTTAAAGCAATTATAGACAAGATATAGGGAGAAGGGTAGAGAGAAGCAATTTAAAATGAATTAAATGCACTTGCTACAAATAGTACTTTTAAGATTACCACTCTACCTATAGGCTACAACATTGTTTCTAGTAAATGGGTCTTTATAACAAAGTTCAACACTAATAGCTCTCTAGATAAGCTTAAGGCAAGGCTAGTTACAAGAGGATTTTCACAGAAATTTAGAGTTAACTATAAGTACACCTTTGCACCTACTCTAAGACATAATACTCTAAGAATCTTCTTTATAATAGTTGCAATCTAGGATCTTAAATGCCACTCTATTAATGTTAATAATGCCTTTACTAAATCATTCTTAAAGGAAGACATTTATATGAAGGCACCTCCTAGAATAAATATACCTGCTAGCCAATGTCTTAGAATCTGTAGAAGTCTATATGGACTTAAACAGGCTACAAGGGACTAGAATAAGAAGTGTGTTCTTAAGTTGCAAAAGCTAGGCTTCATGCAATCGGATGCTAACCCCTACCTATTAACATATCCTAACAAGAACCTAATTCTCCTAGTTTATGTTAATGATATCCTTATTGCCTTAGTTAATTAAGAATATTAACTAGTTTAAAGCAGAATTTGGAAGAGTCTTTAAGATTAAGGACCTAGGAGAAGTTAAGAAGATCCTAGGAGTATAGGTCACTAGAGATAGGAAGAAAAGAATTGTTAAATTAGATTAAGCATACTATATTAGAGATATCCTCTCTATGTATAGTATGCAATAGGACAAGACAAGAAAAACAAGCACCCTAATAAATGGATATAATTCTATTAGGCTAGTAGAATAGGCTAATCTAAGAACCGATTAAAAGGGATATTAGACATTAATTAGGAAGCTTATATATCTTGCTATTTTAACAAGACCTAACATTTCTTTTGCTCTTAGAAGACTAAGCTAGTACCTAGGAGATCCGGCTAAATTCTATATGTCTGCTGCAAGGCATATCCTTAAGTACTTAAGATTAACATAAGATTAAGGACTTGTATTTAAAGGAATGAACCGGCCTAGACTAGTAGGGTACTCTAATCCTAACTTTGCTTCTATAAGATCTAGTAGGTTATTAATTCTTAGGAATGTGTCTATAGTTGTAGATAGTCCTATTAGCTAGATGAGTAAGAAGCAGAAATCTATAGCTACTTCTACAATAGATGCTAAATACATGGCTATGTATGTAGTAGCAAAACAGTCATAATAGATTACACTTACTCTAAGGGATATAGGCTCTACCTATCTTATAGGAGAAAGCGCATTCTAGCTAACACTTAAACAGAAAATGAAGTATATAATTACTTCCCCTATTCTTATTAGAGGAGATAATTAAGCTACCCTTAGTTTAGTAAGAGATGTATAGATCTCTAATAGGTTAAAACACATTAATGTAGCCTACCATTACTAGTGGGATCTCCTTAAGATGAATAGGCTTAAGGTTAAGTTTGTAGGAACAACTAACATAGTTGCTAATAGCCTTATAAAGCCATTAAATAAGTCTCCATTTAAGAGGTTTATTAGTTTACTAGGCATGTAGTAATGTATGCACAGTCCTAAGTAGGAGAGTTAAAAATAGTGCAGTCCTAGCACACTTAGAGGAGTTATAATTCTATTACAATACAGTAAGGTTCTGTTGTAGATAGGTCTACAATAGGCTATAATAAGTGAGGGGATGATAAGGTTAGCTTAGCATCCTAACGTCTTAGTAGAGTAGGATGTTCTTAATAGATTGCGCCCGTAGTTACTCCTCTTCTCTTTAATTAATTAATTACATAGCTATATACTATTAGCTCGCTTTCGTTAGTAAAGGTCGCATGTCTACCTTCGGTTAATTCTATAGGCTCTAGGATTACTTCCTACTGCTAGCTAGAGTATTTTATGCACCTATTATACGTCTTATTTTAACTCTTATTAAGAATAAACTACTACTCGAGGTGCTTACTCGTCGCTATACTAAGGTGTTCCGCAAAACTAATACTAGCGTAGTAGCCTTAGCGATAATTAAGAGTCCTTACTTCTAGCTCTAGATAGAACAACTATATTAGTAGCTAATACCTCTCTACTATGCGTAGGTCGCTTCTAAAAGCGACCGATCGACTATCGCTATAGTATTACTAAGGTAGAGAGATCTAAGAGCTAACCTCTACGTAATTAAGCCTCCTCTTCCTTATCTAGACGAACTTTTAAAGAGGTTTAATAGCTGTTTAGAGACTTAGACTTATAATATCCATTACGCTGCTAGAGCGCTCGATTATTCTAATGCTAATGTCGCCGACATGCTAGTAGACGACTATCTACGCGTAAAGCGATTCTTTAAGAAGTACGTCCCTATTAACAAGTAAGATAAGTTCTTTAATGACTTAAGCTTCTTTAGAAGGCGTAAGGAACACTTCTTAGATGCGTATCTATAGACTAAAACTAGCAACCTAGAGGTGTTCTAGGACTATGTCTTACCTCTTACACCTACTATATTAGAGATAGCGCTTCGACTGTTCTCGATACCGGCTAATTTAGTTCCCTCTAAGCGCGCCTTCTTAACCTTTAGGTTTATCTAGAATTCCTTCTACACTAAGATAGGAACAATTAAGACCGACTAGCAATGTTATGTCTATTCTAACTCGCGAGCAGTTATACGATAACTATAGCTTAAGGGTTAGAAGCGTAAGCTTAAGAGGAAGAGGATAGAGATCGTAAAGTTAGAAGGTACAAAGAGGAAGAAGTTACGTATAGAACACCTCGCTATCGTAACTAGTTAGAAGGACGTACCTATTAGCTATTAGAACATAACTACTAACGCTATAGTTAAACAGTAATAGGCCGTATCGGCGCTTGCTCTAAACGACAATACACCTCTTCCTAATCGACAGTCTTAACTCTCTTAGTCTTTTTAACCCTCTTAACCCTCTTAGTCTTCTTAGTCTTAGTAGTCGACTTAAGGACCATTATAACACTCATTATTCTATATACACCCTATCCCTTCTACTTAGTAACACCCTTACTAGTACCCCTCGCAACTATCGACATAGGGCATAAGTTAAGAATAAGCTATCTATGCCGACTAATATCGTTGTTTAAAGTAACTCGAGGAGTATATATAGTAGTAGTAGTAGTAGTAAGGTCGTCGATACATTAAAGTAGAAGACATAGATAATAACTCTATTAATCTAGCGCTATATAGCAATGGTAATTACACGTAGATGAACTAGTCTTTGTAAAAATGTCAAATATTTTGATTGATATTTACGACCTACCTATGACCCCTCAAAATGTCGATTTTATATGAGGAATGGCCAGAATTTGGGGTGCTGAGCGGGCGCGTCATATCTCGCATGGTAAACGTCATCCGCGGCGGTAGCCGCTCGTTACTTTACTTACCGCACGGTGCGACTGACAGTTATTTACCAAAGTTCACTGACATGTTCGTTACCTCTAGCACCCCTACCGAGGAGCCCTCGGATGCGCTTTTGGTTTCTAATTTTACCCGCCGTGCAATCGCCTTTTCGGATCGACTTGCCAAATCACTTCTGCCACCCTGTTCCTGAACTGCTCCGCCGTCTTTTCCTTGAATGTCAGGGTCGCCACAACAAGGGTCACTACTTGGAATACTCATATATCCATCTAACTGACACTCCAGTCGAGCTTTCGACTGGCCACAAAGCAGGTACCAGCCTGCCAGGTGACGCGTCCACGCTATCAATATAGTGCTGAACCAAGTTCCAACATCATGTCAGGCAAGCAGTCATGTCCTTGTATTCCTGTTAGAACCGGACCATCAGTCACCAGACTCAAGTCAGTTGATATGGATTTATCTAAAAACACCTCGGCATGGTCAACGACACGCAGCATGCACTCATCGATCAGTCCAATTAGTATTTAAGCTTGCGGTCTCACGCATTTGACTACCTAGACTTCGAGTGGCACCAAGCTTACCAAAAGCACTATATCAAGAAGCCTTGGATACGCGATGCGATACAAGTCAAAATCACGGACATCATTCCTTGGACAGTAAAGCCATGTGTGTCAAAGGTCAAAAATCTCTCATATCGATTCCTAGCTATCATTATACTATCAAAGGAGGGCATTGCGTCTGTCGTTCGTGATATACCATTTGGACATTCCAGCTCTGCCGGTCAAAGCCTTGCACTAGCAATACTGGAACACAGTCGTGATTGGGTCGTCTTTTGTTGCTTGTATATGTCAGTGTCACATCAACGTAATCATTGAGACAGTTGAACATACATGCAACAGCTTAGAGTCTGCTTCCGTTGACGACTCTGTAGTCGACAGCGAGCTCACGACCTTCGTCGTTAAGAACGAGAACTCTGATGCTGCCACGGCCCTGGTCGAAAGCATCGGTGAGACGCTGCAAAAGGCTGCTCTGGTCAATGACGGGAAGACCCTGTTTGACATCGCCAGTCTCGGTCATGGCAACGACTTGACCATCGTCACGGATGTCAAGGACACGGTACTGCTTGAAGACAGGTCCGTACATCTGCTGGACTACCACCGAAGGGGAAGGGTTGGAGATGAACGAGGATTCTTCCTGCAGCTGCTTGGTGAAGAGATCGACACCGAGGTAGCGGTGCTGGCCAGTCTGAGAAGAAGTGGTGATGCGGATGACCTGGCAAGGGCGACCCTGAAGGTAGAGCAAGTCACCAATGCGGATGTGATGGCAGGGGATAGAGACAGCACTGCTGGGACCAGAGCGGCCAGCGGAACGACGGGGAGCAGGCATGGCGGTTACGGTTTCACGTTCTTCGATGACTTCCTCGACGGGCTCAGAGTGGTGGTGATGGGGGTGTTGTTGGTGATGACGGGGTCCGTGGATGGGGTGGAGGATATGATCAGCAGCGCGGTGGAGTCCGTCACGGAAAGAGTGATATTGGCCTTCGTCGTCGTAGTATCCCATGTCAAACTTGCGTTTCTTGGGAGGGTCGACGGTAGTACGTGTCTCTGTCTTGACTCGTACTTCCTCTTGAGCAGGAGAGGCGTGGTAGTAGTCGCGGACTGAAGTGGTCTTAGGGTAGTCCTGGACGTAAGATCCAGATGTGGTCTGAACGTAGGAGTCCTGAACTATGGGGCTAGTTTGGCGGCGGTAGTCACGTTCAGTAACGTCGACTTCTGATCCGAGGTGAGTGGCAGGACCGTGGGTAGTGCGGTACTGGTGGTCGTAGGCCTTGTCCTGGACGTCGATCTGTGCGTCGACGTAACGTTGATAAGGTTCACGATAGCTGGGACTGTCAGTGGTACTCAGGTATTGGTCTGAGCGAAGAGGGGAAGCAACGGTGCGGGAAGGGGAGAGTCAGGTCAAGAGGAGGATATGGGTGAATGCAGGAAGCTTGGACGAGCAGCATGGACACCCCAGTTGACATGGCAACACGCTAGTAAGTGGAGAGGTGGTTCATGTCACTGCTTTAGTGTCTGAACCGCCCGACCCGCCCGCACGTGCCGAAGCGAGGTGCTGGCAAGGGAAAAGGCGGTGGAGTGATGCTGATCTTGCTTGCGTGGAGAGCTGAAGACCGGAAGCGAAAGAGAAATGCTGCGGCTTACCGATCCTGTTCAATGTTGACTCTGGTCTGTCTGGTAGGACGAGACGTGCGATCTTCTTCGTAGATTTGGACTTTCTCCTCTCTGCGTACCGGTTGACGGTAGTGGTCCTTTTCGGTTACTTTGATCTCCTCTTCAAAGCGGCGGGACGGAGCGGCCTGGGATGAGGTGTAACGAGTTTCGTGACCTTCCCGTCCGCCGTGCGAGCTGGAAAGGTTGACCTGCTCTTCGATCTTGAGCTCCGTTGACTGGGTGACAGTATCGCTCCTATACGAGGACGGGAAGACTGTAAGGCGTGAGTTGGGCTCTGAGTGAGTACACGGAGTGTAGAATACCACTGAAGGGAATGGGGACCTGCAAGCTCTCAGTCAATGGCTGGACACCCTATTCAATACATCGGCATCTACTTACTCTTGCTTCAAAATCCAGCTTGCTGGATGTCAAGTGTTCTTTCTTGAAAACCTCACGAACTGTCCTTGAACAACTCGGAAGGAAAACAAGAACGAACGAAAGGTCCTTGTTGGGGTTGAACAGAGGTTGGAAAGCGGAGTAAGGAGGAAGAAGATGCTAAGGTGACGAGGGTGATTCGTCTTGCAGGATACTAAATGAACCGGGAAGACAGCAGGGTGGTTGATTGACCTTTCATTCGACCTGCATCTGTTTGTTGTCGCTGTACCCGCCCGTTTCCAGGTGGATATAAAGGTTAGTGCGAACTGTGACCCGCCATCTGGGGTCTTGCTTTAATCACCGAGCCACTCGGGTGGTTTGCTCCTTCCTCGTTCAAGTCAGCTCGCATCGAGATGTGCCATTTGTTGGCTTCCGCAGCCACTTCAGCAGGATGTGCGCTGTGACTTTCGTGCTGCCCAACCATTGACCCAGCCATCCCAGTGATACGATGCTAAGTCAATGAGTGATTGCAGGTGCCATATCCCAGCCCTTGTCTCTGTTGCACCGTCGATCTCTGCAAGGCTAGTAAAGGTCCGAGTGTTCCGTCAGCGCGCGAATTCGCTCGCAAGCGCTTTGGTGGCTGGGTGGCTGAATTGCCAGGCACAGTTGGGGCAGGTTCCCATGCCGCACAATTAATTTCATTTTCCAGAGATCATAGAATTGCTCTGCTCGTCAGTGTAGAGAACTGGAGTCGGCCTTAAGCTTTTTATATCTGACAACGGCTCTACAACATTGTTCGCTGGACCGTCGTCGTTTTTTGTCTGTTGTCGGCTCAATTCCCCCACAAAAAAGGCAACCGTGCATGAACAGGTCACTCCCAACGGTTGTGGGGAGAGCAGAGAGCGCTTTGCGGCTTTGAGGTTCTGCTCTGCAACGCTACCATCCATCCGCCAACTTCGTGCTCGTAAGCCGCGAGCATGTAATGATACCTAGCAGGCCAGATACGCAAGCTGCTCAAGGGATTAAGGCAAGCGGGCATTCCTGTGAAGTCATGGCAACTCAAGTTGGCGTCAAAGACGATCAGAGCGATTGTCACAACGCCATGGATTCACCACAGTTTGCCTGTACCATCATCTCGATGGTTGGTGGTAAGGTCAGGCAGCTTCTGATTAAAATACAGCGACAACATGAGGGGAACAGCCACAAAGCTTACATGGTCTGGTTTGTCGGTAAACTACCGCAGCACAAGAACCTCGTCTAAAAGGTTGTTTCTATGGCAGGAAAGAGTACATACTGTACCAGAGCACAATTCGGCACTGGAGTATGGATGGGAGTACATGAGGCTCGCCGTGTGTGTCGAGAATGATCATTGAAAATACAGAAAACACTACAATTCTCTTATTCTTACGCCAACTGACAAAAGCGGCTCCTCTCTACTCTGCAATCTGTCTGAAGGCAATGCACACGCACCGTGCGTCTCCCTCATAGACATCGTGCACATCAATACTTATATCGTCGTAATCGAAACGTGATTCCTCGATCTCCTCGACCGTGGCATCCGTAGTCGCGACAGTATCATCTGCATTCGCGATGCTGTCGTCCCTGCTTAAGGCGGCTGCTTTAGGAGCATACACGTTCGTTTCGACCCTCTTTCTCTTCCACCACCCCTTGGTCGCAATCGCGTGTAGTTGATAGGCGAAGATAATGTCTTGGGTGGTCGAAGACTGTTCGTTGAGGACCTTGCCTCTCGAGAAACCAAGGTCGGCACCCGCTGAGATCTGCTCAATGATCGGTGCTGAGGCACCGAAGTTGACCTCGTTGCTTTTTATGAGCTCGGTGTTCAGGCGAAACCCTTTTGCAACCTTCAAGCCTGTAACAATGTATACTGGAGCAGCGCCTAGAACACCGGAATTCATAACATCCTGAATCTTGCTATCGGCTTGGACAATCTCTGCTGCCTCGTCATCGCTGATATCTCGCTTGTACGAGACGGTCTCTAGGGCGTCCATGGTGTAGTGATTTAGGACGCTCTTATCTGTACGTAATCCGACATTGCTTGCAGTCTCGAGGAACTTGGCGAATATATTTACGTGTGTGGAAGCCGAGGCTCCCGGCGAAATGGATCGATCGTATTCGGTATGAGTGTCGACATCAATGTTGAGTGGGATCTTTCCTTTTCCTACCCACTTGTTCGGACGGAAAGGGTTTGCGATAACAGTGCCGAGCTGAACATTGCCATCGAGATGGGTTGTGAAGTTCGGAGCGAGGAGATAGGTCTTCAGTATACCCATATTAATATGGCCGCTTGGAGATTGTGAGAGCCCTGGGNTGATGCTTACTCTCTCTTCTTCCCCCTTGCCAACGAAAAGCCTTGGGCTGAGGTAAGAACAACGGTAATGTGTCGTATTGAGGGAAATCCTCCTGAAGATTGCCCCCATACCGTCTTTCCTCGAAAGCTTGTTGAGAAGGTCTAGGTCGGACATGGACGTTGAGCTATGGAGAAGCCGTCGAGCGTCAGCCAAAACCATCGCCGCGATACCAGAAGCGATCGCTGTGGCATAAGAAGTCCCTGCCGCATGTTCGTCGCGAGTGACCACAGGCACACTCTTCCCAAGGGTCATGAATGACCATGATAGGTGGACATCTACCGGGGGGTTCGATGGCCACCAGTTACCTTCGTGGTCTGTGGCTCGAATGGCGAAGACGTTATCATCTCTGGCTGGATACATTTCCTGTTCGTTGGCCCCCTCATTTGCTGCCGCGGCAAAAAAGAGTATTTGACCTTTCTTGAGAGCCTGTGCTTCCATGATCGCCTCTCGAATGGGAGATTGATCCTCTGTGAACCCGAAAGACATACTGACTATGTCAGCGTTACAACCCCGGGCTGCCCATCCAATAGCCTTTCATTATCAGCTGCTGGCTCATCAAATATTGAAACGATGTACTTACCTGCACAATCTCATCAACTCGAGACGACAGATCACAAGAGTTTTCAAAAACCCGCGCTACACAGAATTCTGCGAAAGGGGCAACACGGAGAGCTAGTGATAGCACATCGGTCCCATGGCCATCGGTATCCTGACCTTCTTCGAAATTTTTGTCATCTCCAGGATGGTTGGAGTTCTTGGTAAAGTCACGCCAGGATACGATGCGCCTTTTCCTGGTATCGGTAAAAAATTCGTGGTTCGCGTTATAACCTGTATCCAGTATGGCCACACGAACCCTTTTAGTACTGGAATTGCCCAGAGTTCGTGCTTGGGACACTAAACTTCTGGTGAGCGTACTTTGTGTAATCTGGTGTAACCATACGTAGGCAGATTGGCTTTGCCGCGTCAGTTCAGTACTTGAAAGTAGTCGAAGAGAAGCCTTCTGACCTTGTAGATTGCGAACTCAGGGCCAAGGCTTTGTCTTTTATGCCCTCATCAAGAGCTAAAGACTCATTTGTGAAGGTGTGGGAACTACGATGAATCACATTGCCAGCCCCATCTATCAAACGTAAGATCCGGCAGATGTTATGCAGAGGAGACACAACTTCACTCCACAAGAGATCTCTTCTTTTCTGTGCCGGATTTTCACTACTGTTAGATATATGATCAAGCTTTTCGTGGTCGAAGCATACAGAAACTGCTTTTTTGAAGTCGGTCCTGTATGCGGCATTCAGATCCAGATGAGGCCAATAGGCGTCATTGCTTATAGTCCGCAAGCTAAGAAGAAGACTGTTGTTGACGATCGCGGCCAGGGTATTATTTCGATGCGTGCGGCGAAGGGGTCGTTCACGGCAAAGCTCTACGAGAATTACGCCCAAGGCTAGAATGCGTGGATATCTATGGTTGACACGATCAGTGATTGATTCCGAGATAGTGTCTGCGTTGTATCCGTGGCTAGCAAAGGCGAAATATGGTAGAGCGGGGTTGAACTCGAGCTTTTCAGGTCTATCGTCGTCTCGTTCTTCCATCATGAAATGTATGTTTCCTGTGGTCCACAGGGCACTAAGCCAATCGGTATTGTAGTACTGCCAGACCGATCTAGCAAGTATATATGCCACAACCAGCTTGTCGCGAGTGGTAAGAGTCTGCGACCGAAGGATATCTTCCAGCGATCGACTAGGGACAAGTTGCACCGGATGCTCAGCGTCATCCAGCTGGACCGGTCTGGGGAGACTCAAGAGTTGATTCCCCTGGACCCTCAAACAAAGTTTCACGTTTCCTACGTCTTCTCGAACAAGGTTGCAGAAGCTCGGCGCCGCTAGGAGTACGCCTTGATCAACGTCCTCGTGTTCAGGTACGCTTTGTGAACCGATACATTTTACTTCTTGAGTCCTGCGAATGTCAGTCAGGATATTAATAACTATCCCAAGGGATTGAAGTGGGCTTTCATACGTCGGAACCTGAAAAAGCATGAGTTGCCATCGCCGGGCCTCGCGATGATGGGTGCCGGCTGGCGCGGTGAACACAGTATCGAAGAGATAACCATTCGTCCATTCGTTGTTAATCTTCTCCATCAGTCGTAATCGGCCTTCATGGTGCCGCACAGATCCTGAAATATTGCGGTCGCACATGCACAGAGCATGTCGAACGATTGTGTCATAGAGTTGCTGGCTGATCTCGTCTGGTACAGGATTGTTCGTGTATGATCTCAGACAGGGACTCAAATCCTGCAGCGAAACACAATCTTTATTTCTTATTCTTGGGAGGAATTTGTTGAAAGAAGTGAGATAATCTTCTACTTTGTCCGGTCTACCTGTTGCCCATGCTGTGAGGAATGGATAAAGATAGTCTTGCGGGCTAGATTGTTGCTGTAACCCTCTGAGTGTAGACCAAGAAGGATCTGGAGAATTTGGCCACTTTATTTTTAGATCAGTACTATGTATCAGATGTGGAAACGGTGGGGTGTACTGTGCAAACGGTCTCAAGCAGTTTCAGTAACTTGCAGAATCTTCTCTGCGAGATAGTTTGCTTCGGCAGAGTCCCGCTTTGTAGAGTAAGGGCAATGTCCACGAGTATTGACCCGAGATTTCCAAGAGCACGCGATGCCTGCTGAGTGTGAACCTGCGATCTCAACGAGCAGCTCAGGTTGCAGGCGGCAACTGCCACTTTGTAGGATACGAGAACAGACAAGTCTTCAAGATCGTCCGTAGCGGCCATGTCGGTGACTTTGCTCGGCCTATCTGTACCAGCATCGATGGTTGTTATGATCGAAGATGAATTGCGATCGTACTCCGAGTGACTGCTCTACTGTATTCGAGAACAAGTTGTCGCGGAAGAGTTCACGCTATCTCGGTAGACTCCGGGAGTACCCGGGCGCTTAACTTATCTCGGGCAGAATCAAATAACTGACACATGCTCCGTACCCCATTCTGTCATCTGCACACTTGGAACAACACGACCTTTCACAATGCGCTACGCTGCGATCGAGCAGACGGGTCCAGAATGGAATCATCAGTTCAAGAAAGCGACCACGATGAGATAGATAGGAGGACACATAGCGCTCGTCAGAAACTGCGCGCTCTGCTCGCAGATCTCACACAGCAAGCAGACGGTCCGAACTCTATGGTCGCAAACAAGGATCATGCCAGCGAACCCTGGGCTTTGGGAGGTATGGATCGTGCTTCGCGGTCCGCAGTGATGGATTGGGCAGAAAACCGACTGGCTGACTTCGACCTCTGGGTGATTGGAATCGGTGCTTTGTCCAGGCCCGAAGCATCTTTGGACAGGCGACTGGCATCATACCACGAAGTCAGTTCTGTCGTAGTCTCACTCCTGACGATTTTTGAGTCATTTCTCGAAACTTGTCATGATTTAGGTGGTTACCTAGCATGACCCGTGGCTATTGTTATGTTACTGATTCTCTCAGCTACACGCGATCCATATGAACACGCCCCAGAAGGCGTGGAAGAAGGCGACCTAGAAGATTGCTCTAGTCAATCTTCTGGCTATCTCTCGCCATGGTCCGACGAAGGTTCCGATCATAACAATGGCGCACGTATCAATCCAATTCGAAAAGTCCCGATGAAAGTTCCCACTACAATCAATGATGAAGAGTTTGCTTTTGGCTCTCAGAGAATCAAAACACCAACCTTGCCCCTTTCAGAGGCCATGGAAGGAGCGGAAACAATCTTGAAGCGCCTTGTTCGTCTTGGTTTCAGGATTCGACAGTCTGCTATCACCGAATGGTTCCGAAGGGCAGATGCGATGTTCGATGCTGCAGGCCACGAAGGGTTTCGCAAGCACTTGATATCCATGCTCTTTGTAAAGCAAGGCCGCAACGAATCCTTGAACAAGTCGCATGTTTCTGCAACAGACTCTGACAGAAAAGATGGATTGAGTAAAGCACAAATCCGCTTAATTGATTCCAACCTGAAAAGGCGTAACAGATTCATATATGCTCGGGACCATGCAGAGAATTTGGTACCACGACAGCCATCAATAGTCCAAGAGACCGTTGCACGAAGCAGAGATGTATCTTCGGAGATACTGGGTGCGTGGACTTCTCAGCGGTCAATTGCTGAACAAGGCTCGAGAGCTTCCAGCATGATGCTCATGCCAGTAATCAATAAGGAATCGTCACGTGTCTCAGATGTCTCTGGTAAAGATTCGCAGTCACTCGAGGTTGCGCGCGAGCAAATCGAGTCTGACCAGACAGCGTCGACCTCCACTGTACCCGAAACAGTGGATTTTCCAAGCGTTCTCACAGCAACGGAGCCTGAAACATCGAGTTTTCGATGTCCGTACTGTGCTCAACTTGTTTCTCAGAATATCGGAAAAAGCCCGCATCATTGGAAGTGAGTCTTATACAATCTCAAGCAATCTGAATTGCACAAGCTTAATAGTCAGGAATCACATAGCCCAGGATCTTTTACCGTATGTGTGCCCTTTTGAAGACTGCCAGATTCCTGAGATCTGGTATGCCTCCACAGAAGCCTGGATGTCACACATACGCCAGGATCACACTCGACTGACTGATTGGCGGTGTCCGGCGTGCGACAAAACGGCCACATCTTCATCGGATTTCATTCTACACGTCCAAGAGAAGCACGAGGATATCATAGATGATGATCTACTATATGAGTTTGCTGACAGGTGTAGGCAGCCTGAGCTGACGATAGTAGCTTGTCCTGTTTGTGGTGATAAAGATGAGTGTTCTCTTGATCTCATCGGCGAGCACATACATGCCTTCTCTATGAGATCTTTGCTGTGGCCAGCCACGGAATTACCGCCAGACCGATCAGGGACCTTCGGTCTTTTCCGCGATGAGCAATATTCTGCAACCCAGAGCGTTTCAACAAGCCCAGGTCGTGTTAAAAGCGATGATTCGAAGTTATCAAAGAATGAAGAATATAGAGTCGACACACGAAAACCAGAAGGGACCATGGCAGAAACACAGCGAACGGATGTTGCGGTTGATCCCAACACGTTCGTGGAGGACATAAGGACCGAGTTGATGCGTGTCACACAAAATGAAGACAGCAGCCAAGATGCATTCATTGTACACTCGGATCTTGAAGCAATCTGGTTCAGGTCGCGCGTCCATACGCTCTTGAAACTTTGCTGCCTCTGCCCTGAGAACACGATCGATCAAGTGGCCGATATAATCATTGATCATTACCTCACAACGATCTCCATCCTCATACACATTCCATGGATGCAATGGCCTAGATTCACTGAAGTCTTTCTTGGTAATGCAACAACGTGGAAGGAAGCTCGCATTGTCGGACGCAACGACGATAACCTTCCCTACAACTTGCAGGACCTTAGAGTTTTCTTGGGCAATTACGCCAGAGGCTTCGACTTTCATCAATGGCTGTTCCTCCCGGTAAGAATTGGAGAACGCAGATCGGCCTCGCTCGCCGACTATACAGAGGACCATCGACTTCCGGTCCTCAAAACCGAGTTTCTGGGGAGAGGAGCTTCCGCTGTAGTCTACAGGGAAACAATAGCACCAGGGTGTCTCGCTTTAGGGTCTGGTTCGTGGAATGCAGAGGTATGTGGACACTTTTTCTCTAGATTACTAGAGCCAAGTACTAATAGTGGTAGAGCATCGATGTTGCTCGTAAACATATCGAGACTCAGGGAGACTTTGACTCCGAAAGTGTTGTGATAGAGCGCCTGAAAAATAATCGGCTGAGACACCGTCATATTACCCGATGTTATGGTGTGGTTGTCCGTCAAGGCCTCCTGCAAAGCAAGCTTGATATATTCTACGAATTGGCCTCATCAAATTTGAGTCAATTCTTGACAAATTGGGGGGAATCTCAACCAACATCCGAAATACAGCGTCATGTCCTCACGCAGACCTTTTCGCTGATCGATGCGCTTGTACTCTGTCATGAGCAATTTTATGACCCGGAACAAGGCCATGTCATACTAGCGCATAATGACCTGAAACCCGAAAATATATTGGTATTCGACAACGATGCTGAGAGTCTAGTTGGAACTTGGAAGATCGCCGACTTTGGTCTCTCCAAGATCAAGCAGGTCGCCGAAGGCGGCAATTATCTCTCTCCGGACGACCGTGTGAATCAGGATCTTGGTTTCCCAAGAGCGAGTCGCCCATCTGGTGGATATACTGCCCCTGAAATCGTTCATGAGGGTTTTTTATCAAGGGACAGTAGTAGTCTTCAATGTGATATCTGGTCTCTTGGATGTATTCTAGCCGAGCTCCTTGTCTTCGCGGTCGGCGGTTCGCAATTCCTGGAAAGGTTCGTTAGTTTGCGGCGGCCAGGGAATGCCTTCAACTATCACGACGACCGATACTTCGAAGGTCATCCTGGCACCAAACAGGTGCGACTCAAACCACCTCTCTTCGCGGTACTCATGGAGATACGCAATCAGCCTGTTGAGAACAGCTTGGCAATGGAGCTTGTATATCTTGTACTCGATGTACTCAAAGTGGACAAGGATCCGAATGGAGACGGCAAGATCCTTGGAGGGGCTCGGCTGAAGATGTCTACCATCAGAGACCGCTTTCGTGGGATCCAGAGATCTCATAGATCGCAAGTTGAAAGTTCTTCAAGGTCTCTCATCCGGCCTGAAAAGCTTACTACAAGAGAATCGATCCCAACCACGGATATCAGCTTCAGTACACGAGAAAGGCGAGCATCGACTATAACGAGCAAGTCTATCTCTCATAGCATTGCAGGCAGCATGCCTTCGAATTATGAATCACGCCCATTGCGAATCCTTACCCCATCAACCATAGCTACTAACGACCAGCAGAAATCGATCAATCACAAATCTGCTGTAAAAGACAATCATGGCATTGGATCGAGTCAAGGTACGAGTCCTATATCGAGTTCCGGGCCTGTGCCATCACTCCCATGTCGATTTCTGCCCATGAAAATATTGCACAAGTCCCCATCTGTCAATATCTCCTGTAGGGCCATGAAAGCCGTGGAACTCGCTTCCGACGCAAGATTTGTTGTTTTCTGGTCAGATCGACAGGTTATTGTTTACTCGCTTTCATCGGCTGTCAGAGAACAAGTTCTTGACTACAATTTGACGGCCGACCCACAGCGCAGAATCAACTCTACAACACTTTTTGGGAGCACACTTGCTGTCACCCTTGGTGCTCCAAGAAGTGGTGAGGTACGTGAGATGACTCCAACGTCATCTGTCGTTTGAACTCATGCTAATTACGTTCACCAGATCAAATTCTTCAGGATAAACGACCGCACTTCAAGCCAGCATAGGCGTCAAACACATGGTACACTCGTACTAGGGGAAGCCGATCACTTCCGCCGAGTTCTACTGGGCATAAACGATGCGGTGGTGTTGATTTACAGCAACTGTCTGCAAATTGGTACTTTGCGGGACAATTTGCAAGACAGGCAAGTTTTCAGCACCTTCTAGGTTTCGTTGAACTAACACCCGTTATCAGTCCTGCAAATTGGAAGACTGTTCACCTCAAATCAGACACAGAACACTTCTTTCAATCGTCTATCTCGCTGAACGGACATCAACTGGTTGTTTGTTCTCGAAACAATAAAGTGTCCCAAGTGGAGAACTGGCATCATATTGACTTGTCAGTTCCTCGAGAAGCATTAGAAGATCTTATCCATTCGAACGTTATGGTACGTCACCGGCTATGTTCCAGCAGAACCATGTGACTGATTGATAGACAGCCACCTCCGGGTCTGCGAGGCTCCACTTCTCCAGCATTTATGATTCCACTACAAAACACAGTGGGTACCTACTACTCCACGGGTACATTTGCACTGTTCGAGGGCATCGAACATGGTTGCAAACTCCCCAAAAAACTAGCCTGTGCGGCAGCTACTGGTTCGGGCCATGACTTTCCAGAGTTGCAGTACCTTGTTTACGTTACCCAGAACCAGAGGTTGGTGATGCCCAAGACCGAAATCTGGTACGTTGAGATACAGCGGTACGGTGCCGGAGGCCGTGTGAAATCGACCTCGCCAAACCGACTGCTCGCACTTTCTGGAAAGCTGGAACAACCCAGTCTGGGCTTCAGCTGGGTAAGAGAGGACGAGGCAGGCCCCCGTGTGTTTTGTGTTCTTCTCGCATTTCCAGAGAGCGGGTCGATCTGGTGTCTCAGATTGCCAGGTGTGAAACCACGCTGGTTGAATTGACCGTAATGGTAAAAGCGGACGCCTCGGCTCCTGTCGCCGTCTTCGACCTCACGAAGTCTTTCCACGAAAGCCTTTACCAAAGTCATTGTTCATCGATTTCGAAGTACAGTTTTCTTCCTTCTCCTATCTGATCTACCCGACTTTGCCTGGAAAGGACTCTGCATTCGTCTATCATCGAGCGGTAAAGAGGCATGCTGATCTTGTGCCAATATCTTTTCTCATGCTCCTTTCACACGCGACAGCGTTTTGAATCCGTTCTCTCGTATTGTACTCGCGAGATTACCGTTTTTCAGTCTAGCAGTATTGTCTCCAATTACATTGCGTCTTACTTCAGCAAATATCCAATTGTTGCTCCAGACGTTGTGTGATCACACCAGCACATTGGAATGACGTTCTGATCGAGAGAGCTAGTTTGATCTTCTTGACTTGTATTTTCGAAGCAGGTGCGATCTCATGTGCATGGCTCACAACTGCCTCTGTTGAGTGCCCAGCACGACCAGGGGAGTGGTGAATGTGTCAAGGAAGGTGCAGCCGAGGGGGCATCCGGGGCAGGGTCATGCCTCAAACAACCTCTTCGAGCACTTTAGACGACATTGCCATCGCGCACGCCAGAACTAGATCTTTGTGACCGTATCATCTAAGCTATCTATATTTACTGCGTCGCAGGTTCTCACGGTGAGTGGGTGCATCGGTTGTGGGGGTATCTAGGTCATCTTTTCTGTTTGACGAAGGTCGGATATTGGAAGGTGCTGCTGGACCAGTCTGCATTGTAAAGACACTTCGCACAACAGGTGTGTAAACAAAAGTCCGAGATAAGAACGAGGTTGAAGAGACGACTCCCAGTTGCTCTCAGATTCGAGCAGACTATATTTCACTATTGGGAGTCTGGTGGGTGGATATCAACAGGTCGAGACATCCAGATTCCACGCACCGATTCCCAGGGAGACGCGGATCAACACCTTCCAAGCATTCACCCACCAAAAAACGTACACAGAGCGAGCCAAAAGAATGGCAGTCTCGAAGGACAAGCACGATCTGTTGGAACTGGCCAAAGATGATGCAAAACATACAGCAGCAGGGATTCCCACGTGGTCACCCACCGTAGTACTAATCTGCCGTTTAACTACTTATGTATAATAGAGCGGACGGGATGCCCAGTTTTCAGCTAACTGTGGCCGTATGTAGCAGTGCTAAGGATTATAAAAAATATATTTTACGCACATGTGCCACGTTTTAGTAAACAAAGTAGTCCTAGTAGTGTAGCGCTTACGTTCCTCTATAATAATAGTAGGAGGTAAAAAGCTATACTTAAATAGAAGAGAAGAGGTTAGAATCTAAGGGAAAGATAAAGCTAGGATTATCTTAAAGGATGTTCTATTTGTTCCTAGTCTAGGAGTAAACCTTCTATTAAGGAGAAAGCTATATAGAAATAGAATTAAAGGAAGGTTTAATAATAAGAAGATGTACTATATTAATCCTAAGGGACATACTATCCTTAAAGTAAAAGAATAAGGTAGTATCTATATCCTAAGTAACATCTATTACTTACCCTCCTATAGCTTAGATAAGCTACTTACATTTACTATCTAAGAAGAGATTACTTAAGATAAAGTAATAGAAGAGTTAAGTAATAATTTAGATACTAAAGCCTATAATAAGAAAGTACTAGATAACTATATATTATACTATAAGAGATTTACTTACTTAGGCTCCTAGAAGATTTCTTAAATTTATAAGATAACTACTATAAAGAACCTAATTAAGGTAGTTAAATATGTCTACTAGACCTATATTCTTACTAAGTTTAGAAAGAGGAAAGGAAAGGTAGTAAATAGAAAGGGAGTACTACTTAAAAGGGTATCTATTAATACCTATAGACTATTTTTAATATTAAGACTTAGAAACACTTAAGTAATAGTAATTAAAGATAATTTTATAAGATATTCCTAGGTTATTCCTATTAAGGATAGAAAGGAATGTCTAGAGAAACTTAGAGTCTAAAGAGTAATAGTTAAAAGGTAAACTAGGTATCTTATTAAAGCATTTAGATCTAATAATGTAGAAGAACTAGTTAAGCATTTTAAAGGACTTAAAGTAGAATTTAGGATTAAAACTTAAACTATAGTCCTATATACTTCTACCTAGAATAGCCTAGTTAAAAGGGAAAATTAGTAAGTAGAAAACGATATATAAGCTAATCTTAAGGGCGCTAACTTACTACCTAACATCTACGAAGAGGTATACTAAGCTAGATGCTATATTAGAAATAGAATCTTAAACGGCCTAGAGGTAAATAGATATATAGTTAGCCCTTATAAGGCCCTTATAAGTAAGGTGCCTAATATTAACTACGTAAGAGTATAGGGATATAAGGTACATTCCTATATAGATAAGGAATCTATCCCTTAGAACTTTAGAAGAGATAAACTTATAGATAAAGCTAGAGTTAGCATCTTTATAAGATATATTATAGATATAAGTAAGTAGTTCCTAATCTAGGTACCTAATATAAAGACTATTATTAAGACTAGTAATGTAGTCTTCTATAAGGATAAACCTAGTAGTAGCATTAATTATAACTTAGAAAGTAAGTATTAACTAAGTTATACTATAACTAGAAATCTAAACAGTAGGCTTACTATAAATAAGGAAGATAGCTAAGCTATAGTTCCTCCTATATAAGTAAATCTAAAGTTAGTAGGAGCTACTATATAACTTCCTCTATAAGAGGGAGATAAGGATAATACTTAGGAACTAATATTAGTAAAAAATAATAATCTTCCCTTAATTAATAGGGTAACTAGAAACTCTAAAACTATACTATCTTAACCTACTCCTCCTAAACTATAGAAGGAGGACCTAAACTAGAAACTAGTCTTAACTAAATTTAAACTAGAGAAGGACGTAGAAGTCTAGATTAAGTTAGGCTCTAGAAAAAGGATAAGGAATAAGAGTAGAATAAATTTTAGTAAGGATAAGCCTATAGAGAAAAGGCTCTATTAAGCCCTCTCTACCCTAATAGCTATATATACTACAAATAATAACATAGGTATAAACGAGGACTATACTAAAATGTTAAGAGTATTAGTTAAAGAGTTTAAGGCCTACTTCTCTATAGAATTAGATAAGGAGATAGCCCTAGTAGTATAAGGTAAGATAGATATTCCTATCCCTTAAACCTATCTTAAAGCTATCTTAGATAAGATATAGGGACCTAAATAGAAGGAGGTAATTAGGCGTAAGTATTATAATATAGTAGTTAGGGTAATAGATATAGTAAGAGGAAGTTAGGTAATATAAAGAAGCTATAATATAAAGACTTCTATACTATAATAGTAGTTAACTAACTTAATTATAACATACGTATTAGTTCTACCCCTTAATAACTATTCCCTCTAGAGCTCTAGCTTCTAATTACTAGGCGAAACTTTTTAACTATAAGCTCGTTACACTAGTAAGTAATAGCACCTAGAAGATAACCTATCTTCCTAGAGGAGCTAACCTAGTAATAAGCAAATAGGTTTTTATAACTAAGTTTAACACTAATAGATTACTAGACAAGTTAAAAGTAAGACTTATTATAAGAGGATTCTCTTAGAAATTTAGAGTAGACTATAAATATACCTTTGCCTTAACTCTTAGGCATAATACCCTAAGGATCTTCCTAGCCCTATACGCTATTAAAGATATAGAGTACTATTATATAGATGTTAATAACGCCTTTATAGAATTATTCTTAAAGGAGGACATCTATATAAAACCTCTACTAGGGGTAGATATCCTACTAGGGATATGCCTTAAAGTCTATAGGAGTCTATATAGACTTAAGTAAGCTATAAGAGACTAGAATAAGAAGTATGTTATTAAACTCTAGAAGTTAGGATTTATCTAGTCTAATTCTAACCCCTACCTACTTACTTATCCTAATAAGAAGATTATCCTATTTATCTATATAAACGACATTCTTCTAGGATTAAGTAACCTCTCTACTATTTAATAGTTTAAGGGAGAGTTTAGTAAGATCTTTAAGATTAAAGATCTAGGAGAAGTAAAGAAGATTCTAGGTATTTATGTTACTAGAGATAGAGAAGTAAGGACTATTAAGCTAGACTAAACGTACTATATAAGAGAGATTCTCCCTATATATAATATATAATAGGATAAGTTAAGAAAGACTAGTATCCCTATAAACGGATATAAATCTCTAAGACTTATAGAAGGGATAGATATAAGAACTAACTAAAAGGAGTA